GGGAGAGTAAATCTTATCCCCAAGAGTCTGGCTGCATGTACCTCAATGGTCCCCATTGAGAGAAATGCTGCTAGCCTCCTGTTCTCTAAACCAGTGCCTAACCAGACTGGACCAGACACTTTACTGCTTGTTGATGAAATGAGTCCAAGTATGAGAATGTACTGCAGAGTGGGAGCCTGTGATTTTCATGCTCTGGTCTTGTCGCCTGGATGAAAGAGAATGAGTTCCTACAGAAGAGCCTCTTCACTTCTTACTCGTCTTCAAGAGGGCTCGGTGAATAATTGGAATTATGCAAATTAGTATGCACCACGTAGGGAATTGAAATTGTTCCCTAGCAGACCTGCTGACAGGCTCCTGGCTCACAGGTCCTTCCTAGTAAGCTGGGTTGGATGTTATTCTTCTGCATCTGTCTCTATTTCTCCCTCCTTCCCCCTCTCTCTCTCTCTCTCTCTCTCTCTCTCTCTCTCTCTTTCTCTCCCTCATTCTCTGTCCTCCATTTCCTCCTCCCCTCCTTCTCTCCATCTTTTTCCCTCTCTTATTCCCTCCTTCCAAGTGGCCAGTACCTGATTGCCACCCCTCTGTGCGCCTCTTCACATGCCCAGGATGGCACTGCCTCCTGCAGGTCAGTTCTTATCAATCTAGATAGCCCATTCCATGCCCAGACCATGAGGATATCTACCAGGTGACTTACAGTCAGGCTGGGACACCCACCACCATGTCTCTCCTCTCCCCTCTTCCCTGCCTGCTTTTTCTGCTTTTGCTTTTTTCTTAATGTGTGGACTCCTTTGCCACCTCTTTTTAAAGATGTTTCCATGTTTGCATTTAGACATTCAATTACCTTTGCTCAAAAGCAATTAAGTTCCACCCTTCACCCACTGAGCTGAGGACTCCCCGTGAGCATCTTTTCTTTTTTAATAAGCAAAGCCATCTTCAAAGAAGCAAGGTCATACGGATACACCTGAAACACACTGTGTTTGCAGATTTTAATGAGTGGTGTGTGCGTGTGTGTGTGTGTGTGTGTGTGTGTTTTAAATCTTTCAACCCTTTAAGTATATTCACACCTAAAAGTTAGGGAAGGTCTGAGTTTTGTTTCTTTTGCTGTAGAAAGACATTGTTTTATCTGGGTTTTTTTTTTTCTTTTTTCCTGGAGCATTAAAAACAATTACCTTGCCAGATGGATCACCTTGTCTTGACTTTATAGAAAAAGGTTATATAGGAAAACAGATACTTGGGGGCTGGAGAGATGTCTCCGTGTTTAAGAGTATACACTCCTGCAGTGGACCCAAGTTTGCTTCCCAGCACCCACATGGGGTTGAGGGAAAGGGATCACAATAGTTTGTAACTCCAGTTCCAAGGGGTCTGACACCTTCTTATGGCTTCCCAGGTCACTGTATTCATGTGTATTACACACAGACAACCAAGCCCTCAGAGCTTCAGTTTGGGATCCTATAAGGTGTAGTAAAGGCAGAAAGGAGACTCTGTTGTGCTCCATAAAGAGTGGCTGATGTTACCAGCCATTATGCCATAGTGCTGGTGCCTTCCTTCCTACATCTGGACTTCCTACATTGAACTGCAGCTCATGGGTGCAGGGCACCCAGCCTTAGCAGTCTAGCGCTCATGGCTGTATGTCATCTGAGCTTCAGGTGAGAGTGAAACACCTGTCGGTTGTCACTCAAGTGTCTCTAGTCCTCCTAAGATACTTCTGCTGTGAGGATTTGTCATAGATCAAGTTTTGCCTGTCCCAAGAACCTTCACTACCCTGCCTCTCTAAGACCCATGGATAATGTGTGTGTCAAAGTGAAGGACCCTGGAAATGGGATAGTGGTCCTGGGAAAGATATCCTGGAACCTTCCATAACTGTGTTCATGTTCCCTTGGTGTGGAGATGGTCTCCCCAGGAAGCTGAGAGGGAAATGGTGGTCTTCACACTTTGTCTTCTCACTCTCCAGGTATGTAGATTTCTGACATCTGATATCGAGCCTCCATGTGATTTTAGGAATCAGGGTTGTTAGTAGAAAGTGAACCTGAGTGAACAAGTCACGGGCTAATGCATCGTTGCATTGCCTTCTCAATTCAGCCCCTGACTTTCCACTCTTGCTCTTCAGGTCTCCCTAGGATGCAGAGCTCCTGTGGGCTAACACAAAGGTTGCCCTGACCGTCAGTCATGCACAGCTTCCTTCAGGCTGCAGTGTCATTCCGCCTGCTGAAGGTTCTGGTTGTGCGCTTCATTTCTGGGGAACAATGACCGACAACCGGGTTGTGTGGTCACTGCCTTCGTTCCTTAGAGGCATCACCTCCACAGCTGCTCATGGGGCTGCTAGGACTCTACCCTTGAACTGCCCTTCCAGCTCCGGGGGCTTCCCTGCTCAAGGATGAGACTTGACTCCGCTTTGCATGTCCAGATCCTAGCAGGCTTGTTGAATCTTGTCTTGGGAAACACTGGAATAGTATTCAATAGAATAAGAATGATAGTTTCATAGTCATATTGCGAGATGGGTGGATTTTGAGTAGAGTAAAAATAAAGTGAGCTTTTCTGGGAAGAGAATGCGTTGTTCATCCCAGCTCTGCAGACTGCACAAGCTCCCCAGGCCGCCTGTGCTTAGCACTTGGCAGGCACACAGCAAATACTACTCAGCTACAATCCTTGGAGTTCGGCGTAAATTTAATTCCTCTTTCACACATTATTTCTGCACAGATTCCGTGCCTGTGCTTACTAAGTAGCCTGCACAAGTTTTTGAGGGGATGGCCAGGGAGCCTCCGACAGGTTGTTACTAGCCTTAGAATTCAAGTGGAATAATAAAGAGACACCAGATGGTTGGACAGGTTTTGATGTCTGCACAGTTTGTCTCCCTCTACTGGTCCCATCAGGAAGTTCGGCTCTGAGAACTTGCAGCCAGCCATCCACACATAACATAAGGGGGGGGGGGGGAGCAGTTGAGCTTCGTCCTCCCCAAGGGTGCTGGCCTAGCCTCCTCTCAGATCATTGACTGCTTGGTGGGGAAGGTCATTAATGCTTGGGATAAAGCACGGTGTTTCACCCAGGAATTCTGCATCTCTGGAGTTGGATTAAGCCAATTAATAATTCCCAAATAATTACCCTGGAGTTTCCTCTCGTGTATGTAAAGTACCATGGCAGTGTTCAGTAACAGACTGGAAAGAGAAAAGGCAGTATGTGGAGCTGCCTGTCAAATGAGAGCCTGGACAGTATGGATCTGGCTGAGGGTGTGTGTCCCCAGCATTCCTGACCTCCATCCACCGTGGGCTTTGCAATCCTGCAGTCTGACTTAGTCTTGTCTCTCACCCTCCAGGAGCCAGTGGTCTCAGCCCTTGAGGAGTTCCTGTGTACGTGACACCCATGCAAATGGCAGGCTAGAGCAGGTGCACACTCAAGCACAGAGCTATTTGTGTCTGGTACACTTTATTAACCTACAATGCACCTTTGGGCACTAGAAGAGGAGAGACCATACATGCTGGTGGCCACTGACTAACTTCTGTGAGGTCGTTGTTATGATGTACTTGAGATCCCCGCTCATTGTGGCAGCGCTGCCTCTGAAGAAACACGGGAATTGCCTAGCTCCTGCCATGTCTTCAGCGGTTACAAACATTAGTGCTCCCTGTTGTAACAGCGTGAGTGCTGAGCGGCTATCTACTGGTCTCAGTTCTGAGGTCTGGTCCATTCACATCCTTCTTGGAGGCTTTGTAGCAAAGTTTTTCTCAATAGGGATGGGACAGAGCACCTGGGCTGGCTGTAGATGAGGTTCCGTGACCATGTATACACACTGGGCAGGTGCCATTGCCTGCCTCCATTGGTCAGGAGTCCTCAAGCAAGGTTTTCTACACCACAAGGTAATCACCATTGCTGTCACCTCTAAAGATGGTTGAAGGTGACTGGGCAAAATGGAGAGCCAAGAGAAAACCTGAGAACATATTACCTGTGGGGTCTTAGTATGGAAGAGCTTTCTCCGTGCTGAACCCCTTGCCAGTCGGTCTGTCCCCTGCATCCATTCAACTTGGTAAACACGTAGCTCTCACCTGAGGCTATAGATGATTCTGTAGAGTAGGAAGTTAATACAGTCAGAGGCAAGGGTGCGAGAATGCTACTGAAGTAGGTTGGAAGAGTTTATTGCCACAGGATGGGAGAAGGTAAAGAAGGACCCGACACTGACCTCAAGGCTGCTTGGGCAGGAGTTCCTGAGCCAGGTGTGGAAGTAGATTTGGCTGGCCTAGTGAGAGGGGCCCAAAAAGCACACAGGAAGGCATTGGCATCTACTTACCCAAGATACCACAGTCACCATAGATACAATTTGGCCAGAGAATGGCTGTGTAAGAGATGAACAGTTGGTATTAGGGCATGTGGTATCTGGGGTACCAGGTGACTCATACAGATGCCTCTTGGCTGCCAATATGGATAAAGCTGGGGTCTGATCTCACTCCATGCTGGTTCACCTCAGCAATGAAGGAGCTGTAAGCCTTGGATCCTCAGGCTGGACTTGCAGATGACAGCAACTGTACCACCACAGTATGAAGATGACAGAAGAGACAGTGAAGTCAGCAGGCAAAGTTCTTGGTTTCCTGAAAACCTACAATGAGCTTCTCTCCTATTTCTTCTTCCTCCCTACTGAGTGACAGTCATGTCCAGAGCCTTCTATTCAGGAAGATTCTGAGCAGGTCCTTTTTTCTTGGCAGGTGTGCCATGGAGCCCTTCTGTCCACTCCTGCTGGCAAGTTTTAGCTTGTCGCTTGCCAGAGCTGGCCAGGGCAACGACACCACTCCAACAGAGAGCAACTGGACCAGCACAACTGCAGGTAAGGCCCAGCTGACCCTGCTGCCTTACAAACTGCCACCTCCCTGAGCACCTAGGACTGCTGGGAAAGATGTTCAGTGGCCCTTCCTATGTACCAATGAGGATACTGGGTATGTACCCAGAGCCAGAGCCATCTATGTGTGTTCAAGAAGGCTGTCCATCTGCTGGGGCCGGGGTAGGGGTCAGCCTTGGTGAAAAAAGAAGTGAGAAAGCATAGAAGGCCATCCAAATGGCTAAGTGGGACAAAGTGCTGTCTGTCAGGCCTAATAACTGGAGTTTGATCCCTGTGACCCACACAGTGGAAAGGAGAGAACTGACTTCTACAAGTACACTGTGGCATATGTGGGGACACACACACAATTGATTAACTCAACAATACATTCTGAAAACTCTGACTGTGTAGAGTCCTGCTAGGAGCAACTGTGACCAAACACTGACCAGGAGGTTGAGCAAATGTGAATATTGGCTTGAAGGTTTCTTGTGTAACTTTTCCTGAGGAGATATGAGCAAACATCTAATTACTCAACAGAGGACACCCACTATAGACCCAAGAAATGACTGTATCCGTGTCTAGCTTGGTGAACCAGTAAGTTTTGGGGGGTTACTTACAGAAGTATGGGTGACTCAGAGGCAGCTGCTTCTTCACTGGAAAAGCCCACTCCAGCCTGGGTGACAAGTCACAAAAGCTGTATCATCACAGTCTCCTGAGCAGCTTGTAGGCAGCCCCACTTAAGAGTCCCTCCACCCCAACCACACGCCAGGCAATTTGTCTCTGGCTTGTAAAACTTCAGGGCCTTATTAGTCTCATAGCTTTGTGAACTTCCCTGCCTTCCTTTCATGAGAATATGTTTGAATCTGGAGCAAATAGCCATACAACAGGGCTAATAATGTTATTATTTTGTCACTTGTTAATATTCTGTAATATTGGCATATGGTGAGGTTTTTCTCTTTTAAATGAACAGTTGTTATTTTTCGAGGTAAATGTAGAGCATTCTTGGATGTGTCATGGCTTCTAGGAGATAGAGCTGAAATGGACAGCATTGTCCTAGCCTCAAGAGAAAGTTAGGACAGATACACCCCAGGGCAGGGAAGGGGATTATTCTTAGTCTGTTCCCTCACCTTGTAGTTTAAATATTAAAGATGAAGAAAAAGCACGCTGGCGCCCATGTGACATTAAGGAGGAACCTCATAGACATTCCCACTGATAGAAGGTAGACACAGAAATGCCACGATGTAGACTGACATAGGATTGCGTTGACGGGAAATATCCAGTACCTGAAAAGCGTGGACAGGGACAGTAGTGAGCAGCTGCTGGGGCTGAGGATGAAGATAGGAGGGTCTTACTGGAGACAAAGAAATACTCTAAAGGCACTACCGTAGCCAGACTGCCTAACTCTGGGAAAGTACTCACTGTACATTAAAATCAAGTTCATTTTACATGTAAATTTCCTCTCAATTAAATGAATAAATATGCAAAGCCAAAGTGAGGAAGAGGACATAGAAAGGGAAAAAAAAAAAGAGTAGGTTTCCTTGACTCTCACTGTGTGGGTTCAAATCTTGTCTCAGTCACTTGTTAGCTGGGTAACCTGGATGCACTCACTCTATGCAGCCTCTATGCCTCTCTGTGCCTCCCTGCCCTGACTCAAGAGGTACAGACGCAGTGAGCATTACTGAGACAAGCAGGCCGGACAGTCTTCAGAGCACAGCCGCGTTCCTCAGCATCGGCTTCTTCCGTGGTCAACCGGGAGCAAGCTCTAGTCATCCAGCCAGTCTCCAACATCCAGGAGTTCTGATGCTTCAGTCCCTCAACTCCCTCGTGTGACTTTTGTGGGTTGTGCTGCATACAGAGAGAGCCAGGCTCAGAGCAAATGGATAAGGTCAGGGACCCTCCCTAAGGAGTTGGCAGGGATTCCCTGCAGCACATCTAGTGGCAAAGTCAGAATCAACCCGCAATGGCAAAGGCTAGCCCCTATCTTTGCGCCTGCCTCATGCCCATCCATCCATCCCTTCCTACATGCTTGCTCCATTCCTGACAGGGCAAGGCCTACCCACACTGGGGCAGACCGTCTGCTTTACTCATCGTATAGATTCTAGTGTTAGCCTCACCTAAAAATCCCCTCCAATGGTAGTCTCGGAATGTTTTTGCAGCTATGGCCCAATCAAGTTTACACATGAAATTGAGCAACATATTTGGTATTGGCCCTTGCAAAGCTTAAGGAGGACTTAAATTATCAATATCTTTACCGAAAAAACTTCTTAGAAAAAGTCAGTGGAAGTTGGTGCCCTCCCAGTGGGTCAGAGGTTCAAGTTTTATCCCTCTCAAGGACTTTACAGGGTTTCCAGACCATAGACTAATTTCTTCTAGGCAGAGTGGTGTCCCTAAGGGGAGGGAAAAAGCTCAATTCTCCCATGAAATCAAACACCTGAGAGAACACTTTGGCTATATTGTCCTTCCTCCTTGCCCTGACACCCATGACCACAAAAAACAAACAAACAAACAAAAAACAGACACTGCATACATGCCTCTCTGCACGTGGTTTTCCATATGTAAGTCATCATGCCCTGCAGCACAGAACATTGAAAACTTGCCCCAAGGACAGTGACCTTCAAAAACATTCACTGAACTTTCTCAACCCAAATCCCTAGCTTCCCTCACCAAATACTAATCAGCTGGCTATTTAGAGATACCAGGAACGCTGTCTGCACAGCCTAGGAAACATCTTGAAGCCCCAGGGACAGAGCATCCATCTCCCCACAGTAGAGGTTTGATCTGTCAGAGTCCTGTGACAGCCCCACAGGTGGTATCTGAGTCTCCCTCAGGGTGGCATCGCCATCCACGTCTAGAGCTTTCCAAGTTCATTTGAGAGCAAAATGTATTGGTTCATAACATAGCCATGGGCAGGAAGTGTTGCTTTCAGGAAGAGAAGACTATCACATGACCTCAGCACCCACAACAGAAGTAAATGTGAAACTTGCTCTGGTTAGGTCTCTGGGCCTCCGCACACTAGCAACAGCTCTGGTCCCACTATCAGGAGCTACGGAGGCCTCAAGTTACATGGCTGTTCCTTTGTCCTGCAACTTGGGGGAGGGGGAGCACCCCAAGTGCTCTATAAAAGAACTAGCCCCTGGAAAATCACTAAGTATCTCTTGAGAGTTAGCACATTGCCAGAATGCACCAGAACAACAGGAAATTGTTTCCTTTCATCTCTGGCCAAAATTAATTCAATATTCATCGTGACACATTTTCTTAGACAAAGAATTCATTATCTATATATAGATATAGATATAGATATATAGATATAAAAGTTGTGAGGAAGTGCTATTATCCATAACACATACAGAAAGAACCCTTAATTTTAACGTGTGAAAGAGCACATTAGGAAAATGGATGACGTTCTGGTTTGCTTTGCTACTGCTATGACAGACACCATGACCCAAGCTCCAGCGAGGCAAGGGTTAACTTGGCTTACATTATCTCTCTCATGGTCCACCATGAAGGGAAGTCGTGGCAGAAGCTCAAACAGGAACTAAAGCAGAAATCGTGGAGGAATACTGCTTCGTGGCTCGCTCACTGGCTCATGCTCAACTAGTTTTCTCATACAGCCCAAGACCTCGTACTTACAGGCGGTGCCACTTCCAGTAGTCTGGGGCCTCCTACATCGGCCAATAATGAAATACCCCACCGACATGAGCATAGGTCCATCTGAGCAAGGCAATCCTCAGACAATTCTGGGGTGTGTCAAGTTGACAGCTGAAGCTATTAGGAGATGTCAGACACAACCAGGCAAAAATCAAAGTATCTAATTAATTCCATCTTAATCATCAAGCAGAACTCTCTAGATATTAGAAAAAAATCAAGTTAAAACGTTACTGTGCTTTTGCCTGACTAAAAGCGGAAAGATCATTAGCGGGCAGGAGAAAGTGTCTTCCTTGTAAACCCCAGGTGAGCGTAAAAGTCAGATGCTTTGGGAGGCCATCTGGGTATTTCTACTGTTGTTTGACAATGAGTGTAGGAGACACGAAGGTCCTCTTTTAGGAGATGCCATACAGAAACCCTGGTGAGACAAAGTGCTCAAGTTAGGGGCTGGAGAGAGGGCTCAGAGCACTTGTTGCTCTTCCAGAGGACCCAAGTTCCGTTCCCAGCACCCACATGAACCTTGAGAACTGACTGAAACTTCAGCTCTGGGGGATCAGATCCCCTCTTCTGGCCTACATGAGCACCTGCACACACGTGGTACAAATACACAAAGACATATACCCACCTGCAGACACATAAATAGGAATATTGCTTGTTTTAAGTGTAGAAATAGGAGTACAGGGAACAGCAAAGTGAGAAAGAGCCTCAAATACTCATGCAATCTGAGCCAGTCCAAAGTGTAGGACGGCAAGCAGCCAGAGCACAGAATGAAGAGGTTCACCTAGCATGGCAACTCTCCAGGAGCAATGAGAGAAGTCTATGTTTCATCTGGTTGCTTCATACATAGCATTTGTGTTGAGCTATGTCATCAAGTGGATGATTCTTTTTTTTTTTTTTTTTGGTTTTTCGAGACAGGGTTTCCCTGTGTAGCCCTGGCTATCCTTGAACTCACTCTGTAGACCATGCTGGCCTCGAACTCAGAAATCCGCCTGCCTCTGCCTCCCAAGTGCTGGGATTAAAGGCGTACGCCACCACTGCCCGGCTGGATGATTATAATCAGTTTGTCTGTTTTTCTTCCCTAACAATTTGTAAAATAACAGTCCTTCCTTCGATCATGCAATCTTGGATGCCAGGAGAGATTAGTGAGTCTAATTTATTTACCAAACCTATGTGTTCACGAGTTTAGCATCATAGAAGAAAAGGTAGTGGAAGATACACTCACAACTTCATGCTAGAGAAACAAAACAGTCCACCTATGTATGTTCACTCTGACTGGATTGTTTATCGTGGGCCTCTGGCCCAAGAAGCTTTGTGGACTAGATCTCAGAAAGTTCTCCAGAGCAGTCCTCCAGGGACTGTTGTCTCTTCCCAGAGCACAATTGCTCACTGTGCTTCCTGTGTGTCCTTTTCCTTTTCCTCTTCCTCTTCCTCCTTTAACTCTGCTTCCTCACTGGGGACCCTCTAGACATGTAGAATGTCCCTCATTGGAGGGATACTATCTGTTACAGATTGGTGCAGAGTTCCATAGTCTGGAGAGAGCTTCCCCAGGCTGGCCCATTCTCTTCTGCCTGGGTCCTTCTGACACAGCAGATGAGTCACTGGGGGAATCTGTGTCCAGAGTAAAACAGTGTCAGGCCCCACTGCACGAATAAACTATTGACTTTCTAGTGTCAGGACCAGATTCTGTGTAAACAAATGTGAATATACACACATATATGTATGCCTATGCCTAAAGTCTGTGTGAACACACATGTGCTCGCTTATCACATACAATCAGGAAACCCAGCAGAAGACTCTTTATAATCAGTTTGTCTGATTTCCCTTTAGGGAAAAGGCTGAACCATCTAGAGTGAGCCATCTGCAACTCCCCACTCTGGTCTTTTGCCCACCTCTCAGCCCCCAAGTCAGTGCGAACTGGAAACAGAATGTGACCATAGGATACCCTCTGGGAGACCTCATGCCTCATGGTGTTCATGGGAACACCACTGGGACCAAGGGGAACTACCCAGTATGCACCAGAATTTATTTCCTGACCCACGATGTTTATCAAAGTTCATGTTAAATCTAATTACTGACCAGCATCCACAATTTCAAAAATGTTAACATAAAGTATGGGCTTCTTCCTTTTCGGTATTTGAGGCAGGAAGTAGTCTGGACCCATCTCCCCATAGGCTCTGACACTGTAGCCAGGGCATGCTCCCTGTATCCCACCCAACCCAGCCTGGCTCTGGGTGTTCTGCTACCCTTGGGAAGCCTGAGAGGTTCTGGCTCTGATCTCTGCCTTCCTGGACAAAGCACATTAGAAGTGACAGAAACCAAATTGAGGGATAATGAGTTCCTCTGAGCCATCCTTCTGCCTGTATGACAATCTGTATAGGACTCGTGTCATCCAGCCCATGCCTTGTGGGATCCTCATGACTGTCACTGCAGCCTATACTCTGAGAACATGGACACAGAGGCTGGTCTCTCAAGTCTTTGACAGAGCCCAGGGGAGGATTGGCAGGGTCGAAGCCCCTCTATCTATGACAGAGTGGACCTTGTAGCCAAGCCAGTTTAGTGATTGCTTCTGCAGAGCAGAGGCTGAGCCAGAGGCTGACCTCTGGGCAATGCAGAAGTGGGTAGTTTCACCATGGTGACACACCGAGAAAAGACAGTGAGCATTTCCTGAAAAGAAGGAGGAGACTGCCCACTCGTTCTAGTGGCCTTTGACTAAAAATGGATGGAGTTGAATCAGGGTACCCTGAGCAGTGGGACTCTCTGGGATTGGCTTAACTCTGCCCTTCAGGGCCAGGCAGCTCTCAGCAGCCCAGGATAAATTTTATTCAGGTCCTAGTCTAGGGTATACCATTCCCTGGAGCCCCAGACATGGAAGTCTTGGGCCAGGCTGCTCCTAAATGGCTCCAGCTGGGCAGTGGGCAGGTTTAGAGTATCCCCTTGATGGAGGGATAGATAATCCTAGCTGTCTAATATATATATACCTGACCTTGTACATGATGGGAATCAGCTCCTCTGTGCCAGGGCCACAGATGACAGACTGTGGGTCATAGCCTCTAGATTACATACACAGGGATGGGCAAACCATGACATTTCAAGCTCCTTCCTGGAGCCCTGAGTTTCGATGGACTAGGGTGGCACATGGGAGGAAGGACATGAATCCCGCCACACACACTCAGCTAAGGAAAAATGCTTGGCACTTCTGAGACTCAGAAGGATAGAAGTCTAGCTACTGACCTCCAGGGCCTCCCATGGGGGACCTGCTCACTCCTGATAGCATGTGCTCACCGACTGCAGAACATAGCTCCTCTGGACCAGTTCACGACAGGAGCCACGATGGTTAATGGGAGTAGCAGGGTTTTGATGGAGATAAGAACTTTGTGGAGATAAGAGAGCACCCTAATAGGTTAAGAGAATCCATCTGCTGATGACCACAAGGTCACCAAAGCCAAGGTGCAAGGGCAGGAATACGTGTCTCTCTGAGGAAGGTGAGCCTGGGAGGTGTGAAGAATGGACGAGCAAGTTGGTTTCAGGAAGCCAGCAGTCTCTGTCACAAGGAGTTCACCACTCTGAAAAGCCAGGCCACAATGTGTCTGTATCTCAATAACTGTACCAAACTGTACCAAACCTTGGGGCCAGGCTGTTCCCTTATACCTGATGCTCCTGCTTCATCTGGGCTGAGACACAACAACTGTACCCTGAAGAGGAGCCACCTCCTCATTGAAGAGAGAGGCTGGGCCAGAAGTGCTTAGAGAAATAACTGACTAGCAGAGTACATTGGGGTATGAGGAAATCGCCCTTCAACAGGGTCCTTGAACAAGCCCCACCATTACACTTCTTTGTCCCCAGGAAAGGACTGATGGGAGTTAATTTGCAAACTATAGCATGGGGTGTGCTGTGGAAGTCCTTACCCCTACACAGGGTCCTGATGGGGTCTCTGCCCTCTACCACCCGCCCACCCACAGGCCCTCCGGACCCTGGCGCATCCCAGCCGCTGCTCACCTGGCTGCTGCTGCCTCTGCTCCTCCTCCTGTTCCTCCTTGCAGCCTACTTCTTCAGGTAGGAGTGTCCCCAGGCACTGACGTGCTCTAACCAGCTCCTATGAGGAAATGAGTGTGCTGGAGGCTGGGGGTGTGGGCCCAAACAGCTCAGACAGTGTCTGGCCAGGCCTGAGCTGCACACAGCTCAGCCATGAGCAGCAGAAAGAACTTTTCCCGGCTCACCTGGTGGGTATCACCACACTCAGGGCTTGGGGGTTCCCACTGTGCTGAGACCTAACACATCTTGTGCCTCTAAGGTTCAGGAAGCAGAGGAAGGCTGTGGTCAACAGCAACGACAAGAAGATGCCTAACGGAATCCTAGAAGAGCAAGGTATTGCACACTGGGTCCTGGTACAGGGGACAGGCTTTGGGCTGTCACTCAAGCTTGCCTCTCTCTCCAGCTCCTTCCTGGGCTCATGCTGCCACTTGCTAGTAACACAAAATTTCTCTGTTTTGGAACTTAGTGTGAGAGGTCGTTTTTTCTCTGCAAGGAAAGCGGATGTCTGAGACATTTCAGTTTGTGAGGTTTGTTTTTTTTTTTTTTTAAAGAGACCACACATATCCTGTCAGTTTAGCAGGGCTTCGCCAAGTAACATTTCTTATTGAGGCCTTTGAAATCATCCTGTGATTAGGCTCTAACTCATGATGAGAAGCGTTCAGTTGTCACTGTACTACCTCAGGATCACGCTGGAAAGGGCACTGCTCTGCCAAAGCTGTTCACTCTTGAGAAGGAGCGTCAGTTAGGGGACATGCCCAACTTAGATTCCAGCTGTGTTCTAACTTGTAAATGCTGCCTATAAAAACTTGTTTTTCTTTCTCTGTGTTTCAGTGGTAAGTCAAAGCAAAGGTTTTAAACGTGTAGGTTCTAGCTGAGGGGGGTGGTGGCACAGGCTTGTACTCTCAGTATTTGAAGGCACTTGTTGAGGCAGAAGCAACACAGATTCAAGGCCAGACCAAGCTACGTAGAAAGATCCTGCTTCAAATGACCAAGGGGCCTAGGGGATACAGCTCAGTGGCATAACACTTTACCCAGTGTATGCAAAGTCCCTAGTTTATAGTGACAATTAAAAACACAAAACACCGGCTTACAACAGTGGTTCCAGCTTTCTGTTATCACTTCCTACAGAGCTTTGCCTGCCTTGAGGTAACATGCATGTCTTCAGAACTCCAGTGACACTTTAGAACTCCCCCAAGGTAGTAAAGGAACTAACACAACCCCACAATGGGAAGAATATGAGCAAGAGGGCACTCAGCTGAGCTGTAGCATTGCAGGGCTTGGGGAACCTGCACATCCGCATAGACCATCGTTCGGCTCTGATACATCTCCATCCTGCATCCTGCCCTTCTCGCTCCCTGCACATCCCAGAAGTCAGTGCAGAGGGAAGAGTGTGGTTGGGGACAGGGGTGGGGGGTAGACAAGAAGCCCACAGGCTTCTACCAACTCACCTGGCTGCAGCTGAAGGGTGTCTCGGAGCAAAGTCTCAATGAGCTCTGCAGATGGGACAGGGCCTTTTGCAAAGGTGACAGCTGACTTATTCTACTGACCTTATAGAGCCAGCTCCCTCTCTGTGAAGAGAAACACCAATCCCTGGCACTGCTTGCACTGCATTCTGAGCTTGTTGGGGGGGGCCGGGGGGAGCGGGGGAGTGGTTAGTCAAAGCCCTTCACCCTACAGCCCATCCTCTCCTTTGTAGTATCCCCTCCTCCCCTGCCTCAAAGATGGCTTGTTTCTCTGCATTGTAATGAATGAGATTTAAGGAAGCTGGCCTGTGAGTTGCCAAGAAGGGGAGTCTGCAAGACAGAGATCCTGGCAGACCCCCATCTGTTCTGGAGCTTATACCCAGAGCTCTTCTCTGGACCTGGTTGCAGCATGAGGCTGCCATGGCCCTTGTGTGGAAGGAACATAGGCTAGAGGGAAGGCTGAGTAGTGGGTAAGCTTGCAAGCAAGAGTACGGTGTCTATGATGGACAGGAATGCTGCCATCACTTGCAGAAACTAGGGTGTGTTGGGAAGCAGATGTTTGATTCAGTTGCTCGGGGCTGGGTTAGCCCCAGGGTGAGCGATTTGAGAAGACTGATCCCCTCCCACTGTACAGCTCCATCAGGAATGCTGTCAGACCATCTGAGGGATGAGTCAGCCATGGGCAATGGAACTAAGTGGCTTCCCTGTTGCTCCTGGCCCTACAGAGCAGCAGAGAGTGATGCTGCTGAGCAGATCTCCATCAGGACCCAAGAAGTACTTCCCCATCCCCGTAGAGCACCTGGAGGAGGAGATCCGGGTGAGATCTGCGGATGACTGCAAGCGGTTCCGGGAGGAATTCAATGTGAGTATCCCAGGTCTCAGACATCTCGAGGAACAGCAGGACAGTGAGAGCCAGTAGTTCCAGGGACTCAGGGACTTTGTGCCACTTGTGATGCTGCTCAGAAGTAGGGTCCGGAGAGCCTGATCCCTAGTGTAGTGCCCCTCGCTGGTGCTCCTTGTTCCTTATGAAGTGAGATGGTTGAGCCTGATGCTCCTGGGGGTGCTGCCAGCTCCACTATTGGGTACCATGGTATGACAGCAGCTGTGATAAGCATATTATTCTGCCATGTGGTGCATAGTGCAGGTGGCAGTCTTCTGCTGAAGGCTACAGAGAGCCTCCCACAAAGCATCTTGTCATGGTCCCCAAGAGGTCCAGATTCTAATCAGGTCAACACTGGTGCCTCTAAGCGACCACCACGGCACGGTTCAGTGGTTATGGAGACTGTCTGCAGAGGATACTAGTTCATGTTCAGTGTGTGAGAGTCTCTGCTATATGGGATGAGTCACTCCCACACCCTCTGAGGAGCAGAAGCTCACTGAGACAGGCCTCTGCCCACTGACAGTCTCCATAGTCATTCTCAGAACTCTCAACTCAAGACAGGGTTCAGATTGGTCACCCAACCCTTAGAGTTTTTTTCATTTCCTTTTTCTATTTTAATTTTTTATTTTATCTGTATATATGTAAGTGCTTTGTATATGCATGTGCGTCACACGCGTGCAGTACCAGAAGAGGCCATCAGATCCCCTAGAACTGCACTTAGAGGTGGGTTGTAAGCCACCAAATAGGCTCTGAGAACTGAACCCAGGTCCTCTCCAAGAACAGAAAGCTCTTAATCTCTCAGCCATCTTTCCAGCCCCCAAGTTGTGGATTGTTTAATGTCTGTCAGATGGATAGGCATGAAGTGCTATTTTGGACACAGAGCCCCATACTGTTGGTGTTCTGAGGGGGGATTGTTCAGGTCTTCACCCCGTGTGCAGGGTTGGGAGCTGAATGATGGGCCTTAGCAAGAGTGGGTGTCCCTGGATGGCTGCCTTGGCCTGGCTCTCTCATAACAGCTATTGTACTTCAAGTCACTTCCAACACTACCACACGGTGCCTGGGGATGGAAGCTCTACGGCAACATAGATGTGAGCCTCCCAGATGACGAACTTTTTAAACAGTGCCGTGTAGTTGTTTCTAGAGAGGGAGCAGGGAGCCGACAGTGCTGACTGAGGCTTCACGCAAAGATGCCTGCGAGGGCATGGGAGGCGATGGTGGGCTTCACTACACTTCGCTTCACCACCTTCCTCTTTAGCTTGCTTCCCTTTTTATTGCTGCCAAATGTGTTTTCCTCTTTTTTTTTTCTTTTCTAAATGAGGTCATACTGAAAGACAGCACCAAGCACTGTTGTTTTGCAAATTTACAACTTAACACCAGAAGTTAATTCTCCATTTTTAAAATAACTGTCGCTCACATTGCTGGTAGGAGCTTGTCCCTCCCTGCATCTCCCACTTCCCCTTCCAGTTCTGCTGTCATATGTGAGGTGCCAGTGACCAGACTGCTAATGGAGGGTCTTGGAGTAGGCCAGGAGCGGGGACTTGGCTCAGGTACAGAATTCAAGAGGACAGGAAAAGCACAGCAGGCAACACAGGCCCCTGTTCAATAGCTTATTTAAAATATCAGAACGAAGGCAAGCGAAGGTGAAGAGAAGACTTGGTCACTCACAGGAGAGAACCACGTCTGTGTATCTCCCTGCTGCCCGGGGCTCCACCGTGGGTTGTTATCGAGCAGTTATGGATTCTAGCATTATTGAGCAGTGTGATGTTTTCACCATTATGAATTTTAAGCACCCAGTTAGCTTGTTAGAAAGGATGTGGCTGCTGGTGAGATAGCACAGCAGGTAAAGGCACTGGTGAGAGATAGCACAGCAGGTAAAGGCACTGGCAGCCAAGCCTGACAACCTGAGTTCAATCCCTGAAACCCCCATAACAGAAGGACAGAGCTGTTTCTTGAAAATTCAGACCACCACATTCATGGCATGGTATGCGTGTGTGTGTGTGTGTGTGTGTGTGTGTGTGTGTGTGTGTGTGTACACAGGCATGTGCACACAAGCAAATAAATGTTATCTAAAATTTTAAAGAAGAAAGCGTACGATAGAAAAGATAGTGCCTAGAAGCTCATTTTTGTTTGTTTTGGTTTGTTTTTCTTTTTTCTTTTTTCTGGAGCCACTGTAAATTTTATACCAGAAGCAAATGATTCCTTCCCCTGTCCCTCCCAGCCTGTCTCTATGTGGCCCTCAGTTGTAGAGTCCTGCTGCCTGTAGAGATACAGAGTAGGGTCAAAGTTCATGTAGCCTGGATCCTTTCTCCAGTGAGGAGCTGGGCCCATCCATGGCCTCACTCCTAAGATATCCCTGTCCAAATCAGTCAGGCCAGTTCCAGGGAACACATTTAAGTTCCCTACCCCTTCTTTTCTCTGGCTTGACACCCTCTTCCTAAGGTCATGGAAGGGATCTGGATAAGTCTCAACATGTATTTGGACATTCCTGTACTGTCAAGCCATGGTTTAGGTGGCCATGAACTTGAGAATAAGAAGGGGTTTGGCATTAAGATCATCAGAAAAGTGGGATGACTGTTGGAACCTGTTTGTCTGTGTGCTATCCTGGCCCGGAAGACTTGACCCATTTCCTTAACCTCTGCCTCAGTTTCTTCATCTGTGAAGTAGGGATTTTCCCTGCCCTGTGGAGTTTTGGTAACACTTAAACCAATAAGTAACAGGTAACGTACAGATAAGATGTTATCTGCTAGCTCCTCTGGAAAGGTAGATCTCTATCCTGTTTCCAGTTTCTGACTTCAGTCCCAGTAAAGGAGGCTCCTGTGCAGTGAAAACCTCTCTTTGGTGAATGTCTTCCCCGGCTCTGTACCAGCAAGCTGTGTCAAGTCACCAGCCTGGGACCTTCCCTACCATACAGTAGAAATATACACAGAAGGCGTTATTTATTTACAGAGGGGGTTGTTTGTTTACAGAAGTCCCAGCACAACACACAAACCAGAGCTATCCTCTGTCCTCTAGGTCTTGATGAAATAAACCAGACCTCCTAGAGAGTACACAAAGAGTCATTGCAGGCTAGTCATCCCCAGGCACTCTTACTTCCCTGGGGCTACCAAGCAGCTGAGAAACCTGAGGTACTCGGTAGCCTGACAGCAGGAAAACATGCTGGGCCCAATCTGTGCGGGGAAGACTTTTCAGCTTGCTTGTATCTGGGGTTATGAATGGGGGACACAGAGAACTCTGCTCACCTTCCCCTAGTCCTATCCTCCAGGAGCCTGGGAAAGCAAGGTGAACCACCTCTTCTCTATGGCCCACATCTCAGAAGCACACAGCTGTGGAAGGGGCAGCCAGAGCCTGATTCCTCTTTGCACTCAGGCTCCACTGGCCATCACATTGCTGCTATCTTGCCTTCCTTTGTTTAATCCAGTTTGTTGCTTTTAGTAAGCCTTATTTTTAGAGCAGGTCCAAGTATGCAGAAAAGTCACATACGCCCTGGAGTGTTCCCGTGTACTCCGTCCCTCCCATGGAGCATGTCCCTCTGTCACGGGCCCTCTACAGGGTCGTGGTTTACGTGTTACAATTAATAATTGCTGTTGGCAGTGTTATCACTAAGCCCCTAGGATCTGCTCATTCTGTGAGGTTTACCAGATGCATGGTTTCATGTACCACTGTGACATTAGTGTGACATTAACACCACAAGTTCAGTGTCCACTCAGAGACAAGAGGAAGTGCCAGGCCAGCTCTGGTAGTGAGTCTGAGCTCAAGGAACCTAGGTGTTCATAGCTAGGGACAAAGTTGACAACTCCTCACTGGCATTGCTAGGATGACCTCTGATTGGTCCCTCCACACTGGCTCAGGCAGAGCCTCTGTCTGTGGCTATGAGATGCGATGGACCCAGGGCAGAGGAGTGAGGTGCTCTTACAGCATCCTAATGGAACTCAGCCCCTGTGGGAACTGAGTCGGCCACTGAAGAAGCTCCTGTCTGCTAGAGGGAGGTCAGCGCCCAGATATAAAATGAGAACAATCTCAGGACATCATGGATGTCATCGGAGGCTGCTCTATGAAGCCAGATCCCAACTCCCAGGGCCTTAAAATGGGACACAGAAAGCAAGAAGGTCCTCATGTTTCCCTGTGCTTGAGCAAGGGGCTCCTTTCAGGCTATATTACCAAGGTCTGTCTTTTCAGTCAAGTGATGCTAAGAACATTTCTAACACTGTTCATTTGGTCTGGTTCCGTGTCATCTGATCATAGGCAAGTTGTAAGGGAAGCCATGTATTTTTTCTGTGCTTACCATATCACAAACACGTCTTCCTTGGAGCCCAGGGGTCCTAGGTCCAACCAGAAGCAGGTTTAATGTTGAGGAATATGATTTAAAGTTCAAGGTGCTCCTTACCCTGGCTCGTCTGAGCACAAAGAGGAGCCCAGAAGCAAGCAAACAGCAAACAGCTGGAGGGAACCAAAAATCAGAGACAGGTGGCTTCCATGGTAGAAGGAAGTAGAAACCCACGTGTCCACTTTACTCCCAGATGTGACAATTCTCAGTTTTATCATCGTGGCAAACTGAAACTTCTCTTTTCACGCTGATTCTCCTAGGCTGGGCCTAGACCTGTGTGGACTAGGGCATGATAGGCTGTGTTGTGAATGAGTTCCTGACCTCACAAAGTTTAGGATCTAGACAGAAGACCCTGAAGAAAGCCTAGCTCTGTGTATCATTCATTGTCTCCCAAGTGTGGGACCTGAAGAGGGACGTGGATGATGGAAAGATGGTAGTTTTAATTCCTGGGCTTGGTAGCAAAGCTGACAGGAACTGGGGTTTAGATTCATTAGTGTTCAATCAACTCTCTTTCTTTCCAGTCATTGCCATCTGGACACATACAAGGATCCTTTGAACTAGCAAATAAAGAAGAAAACAGAGAAAAAAACAGATACCCCAACATCCTGCCCAGTAAGACTTGTTGTTGTTTATTGTTTGTTTTTGCACGGTCTGTGACATGCTGGTTACACTTGGCACTGCTTTGCAGCTTGCTGGTGATTATGTTGCGACTACCTGTTCCAGGGAATCTAGAGCCACCCTGCCTGAGTGCCCATTTCCCTGAACAGGGTGTGGACATCTTTGCTGCTGCTGGCCACTCTGGTTGCTAACCATACAGGAAGCAAGCTGGGCAGGAACGTTTCTCACAGACTTAGGCACCAGCAGGCAAGGCCTCTCCTGCCAGATTCAGTCCTGAATACCAGTCTAGGCCTGCTGGTGGCCTTGAGCAGTACCTTCCTTCCTAGTTAGTGTTTGATTAAACCAGAAACAAATCCTCAATGAGATTTATGGTCCAGAACCAAAGACCAAGATGGTAGAATGAAAAGCCCACACGGGTTTGGCACCCTTGAGGTGCTAAACAAACCCAGTTCTAACTTCAGCAGGAAACAGCAACTATGAGCTGGGGAGTGTGGTTGCCAAGGAAGTGTGAGAGTTAGGGTGAAGGCTGCTGTGGTCTGGGCATCTCGTGACCTGCTGTTGCTGGCTGAGTCTAGGCCTGAGGTGCCTGTCTCACCGCCAGGACAAACCCTGCATGTTCCCAGCAGACTTTTCAAAAGCTAGAGCAGGAGGGTTGCAACACCCTGCCAAGCCCACAGCCCTCCCATTCTCCCAACCACAGCGTCACCCTTCAAGCCCAGAGAAGAGCAGCCTTAGACAGCTCCACTAAACTTGGGCTTGAATCCTGAACAGAGCTCTCCTACTGGTCTCAGAGACCTTTGCTCTTAAGGAATGCCTGGTGGGGAAAAGGCCTCTGTCAACTTTAGTGTGCTGTGAGTACATGGAGCTGTGACCTGTCCAATATATGATCCTAGATTTCTAGCACTTTCTGGAAGTAGCTCTTCCCTGCCGCTCATACATAAGGCTTATAAACAATTTTTTTGTAAAGGTCACCATGATTCTAGGACCCAGCTAAACCTAGAGTAATTAACTAATAGGTTTTTGTTTGTAAGGGCCAAGGGAGGAAGGCCAGGCTGTGAGGATGGCTCAGCCCAAGTTTAGACTCTGGACACGGTAGCTTTTCTACTGGGTGGGTTCTGGAGATCCGAGGAAGCTACTGCTATGTCTCAGTAGCTCAAAGAGCAAAATGTGTCTGGGCTCTTTAGAAAAGTTTATGTCAACTGATAATTGTGATTCTCAAAGATCCATTTTGATTTCTAATTCAATACTTCCGCTTCCTTTATGAGTTTAATATATGCTTTGGTTTGGTCTTCATGTGTTTAGGGCCACCTTAGGGCCAAAGACATTCAGGGCATCCTGCCTAACTTTATTATTAAACCTACTATCCCCTAAAGCTAATACCCAAAGTCTTAACCAAGAATATTTCTGAGCCTGTAATCCTAGTAGCCTCCAGGCTGAGGCAGGAGTCTCTCTAGATAGAGGCCAGCCTGGACTATGTGGCAAGCAAGACCCTGTGTCAATGGGGAAGGGAAAATGACAGGAGTGAGAAAGGGGGAGAAAAGAAAGGAAAAAAAAGATGAAGACAGACACAGACAGAGAGGGGAGTGCTAGTTCCTGGTGAGAGCTCAGGAACAGAATTCATGACTAAGTTCCTGCAACAGGCACAGGTGGGGTTCTCAGCTTACCAAGAAATCACTCTAGCAGAGGCCGGGAACCTTCCAAAATCTTCCTGCTGTACACAAGACTGGGTTGGATTACAGAAGAAAATCAGCCTGCTCTTTCTCCATGTGAAAGTGTGACAACACTCTTAAACAGTCCTGCTCAATGTCCCCCATAAGTTCCCCTACTCCTGCCCCAGGGTGAGGGCTAGCCTCATCCCTTCCTACTCACGGGTAACACCTGGCTTGGGGTGTCGGCAGCTCTGTGATTCTGTGGTACACAGAGAGCTCTCAGGACTATGGGTACATGGTGTGTTTCACTGGGGTAGTGGGCTGTTTGTTGTTGAGTTTTCTATAGTATGGAAGCATCATGCCTGTCAAGGACCAATAGCAGCATCCAGTTAAGGAGAGACACGCCTGGCTACATTGAAGTTGTTGGTCCTGCTGGGGCAATACAATGGGCTGAATGTCATGGAGCCAGATTAGGATCAGCAAGGGGGGATGGGAGGACCCAGTGCCCACAGCTCCAGGTGTCCCCGACCCTCCTAGTATACCCCAAGCCAGAGCAGACTTGCAATAGGTTCAAAGATGTCCCTAGGCTGAAGTGTAATGTTGGCTTAGCCTGGGATTCCCAAAGATTCAGGTACTCTGTGTTCAAAAGGCTAAGCACTTGCATGCCTGTGGGGACTCTGTGGCAGCAGCCCAGTGGCCCTCTGCTGGGAGGATACCACTACTAGTAATTTTAGAAAGTAGTGTTCTGACAGCAAAGTGTGACTTTTCAGAGCGTAGACCGATGAATCTGTTAGGAGATGTGAAGGTCCAAGGCCATGCAGGTGCCATTTTGCCCTGTGTTTCCAGAACTGTCCCATGGTGTAAGTCATTCGAAAATCTCTTCAGCCCGCATGACATGTGCTATGACAATAGCTGTTTCCATTCTTGAACCCCTGAATGGGAGTGTGTTGATATGTGGCAGCGGATTTGAGGTTTGTCATCCTGGCCAGCATGTGTGGGCTAGGGTTTGTCATCCTAGCCAGCATGTGTGGGCTAGTCAGTGTCCCCAGAGATGTGCCATCTCCCCACCTCTGCCCAGAGTTGGAAAAATACACCTCAGCAGTGAAACTCAGAGAGTCTGAGATAGCACACAACAGTTCAGCCAATAGCCTTCTTTGTAATAAGGGACACAGCCAGGGCCCAAACTGGCCTGAAACTCTCAATCCTCCTACCTCAGCCTCCTCAGTGCTGGGACTACAGACCTTTCCACATCAACCACCGTTTACACAATCTGTTGATGCTGAGGTACAGCAGCAGCTTCTGTGGAACAAAGGCCTCTGGAGGAACAGGAGTCACAATTATAGTGCAGCCCTGACTATAGGTCCCTAGTATGCAGTACATCACCACAACACCCCACACCCCACACTCAACACCACATACTACCATCTCACATACACCATGAACAGTCCACTCTAACACATATCACACCACATATACACACTGTACCATACACCACACATCATAAACTCACAATCAGCATGTCCTACCATACAGCACATACTTAGCACACTCAAGCATATGTACATACCACGCATGTATAACACACAATACCACAAAAATATACACACTACATACATGCAGCACATATAACTATACAACATATACTTAGCACATGTAAGTATATGTATATACTATGCATGTAAAACATACAATACCACAAAAATACACACACCACACACATACAGCACATTTAATTCTCAACACACACCCCAGCACACACATGTATATTGTATGATACATTCTTAACATAGATCACACGTGTGTAACACAACACATAACACACAGTACCACAAATATGCATGCACAGACACACACACACACATACACACACACACAGAGTTGGCTTCCTTCCCACTCTGGAAAATGCCCCATGGAGCCAGCTAGACTCCCATAGTCAATGATCTAACATGGGCAAACCCAGCTTCCCTCCAGCACTGGGGCAGATGGTGAAGGATGGATATTGGAATTCAGAGTCCCAAACATTTTACTCACTTGTCCTCTGGAATGAAAAGAGCTAGTCCTGTATCCTGAGGTCCCCTGTGTGCACCTGTGTTGTTAATGTTTGGACCCACTGTGAGAACATGACCACTACACTCGCTGCTGTCTGCTTGTGTGATCGTGGGGTCTCCTCTCTTCCTCCTCTAGCTGAGGCACAAGTGAACGAGCCATGCAGGGCTTGCCAAGGCAGGGTAACCCACACTGACCTCAAGGGGAGGTCTGGTTATGTCCTTCCAGTGACTGACTCTTGGGTAAAGGACACCCCAGGCTTCTGTAGCTCCTTGTTCTAACATCACGGACTTTTTTTTTCTGCTTTCCCCCAGATGATCATTGCAGAGTGATTTTGAGCCAAGTGGATGGAATCCCCTGCTCTGACTACATTAATGCTTCCTACATAGATGTAAGTTGACTGATTTCCTTTTCTCTGGCTTAGCATGACGCCAACTGAGCATCCAGGGGCTGAGTTTAAACCATGAAGCGTAGGTACCCACCACTCTAATCCTGAGCACTTGTGGTCACACTGAGAGCATGAGGCCATTGTGCTTTCCCAACTTGCATCTGCACCAGAAGTCACAAAGATAACAAATCCAGTGAGGCTAATGACCCCAGTGGATGCTGGAGGTTTCAGTCCGGCCTTACAGTGCTGACAAACTAGAACCCACCAATGCATTTGACTAAATAAACCACAGTGGGCCATGGAATTTAGTTATCTTTGAAATATCATTCAAAGTTTTAAATTTATTACTTAAAATATAAAGAAATAAAGGGGTTTGTACACATGAGCCCATTTAAAAACACCGATCAGTATGTTGTATCTCTCTCTGTGTGTGTGTGTATGTGTGTGTGTGTGTGTGTGTGTGTGTTTGTGTGTGTGTGTAAACAAAAACACAGTAGTACAGGCCACAGGAAAGAGACTGTTATCTCTGAAATTGCTGGAGTTTTTGTTTGTTTGTCTTCATGTTACTTTTTCTGTTTTCTACGTTCTCTCGAGTGAATCTTTCCTCCCCTTCTATGTGCAAAGTGCCCTAGTCAAAGATAGTCCTGAATAATTATGAGTCTGACTTCATTTTTCTAGGGCTACAAAGAAAAGAACAAATTCATAGCAGCTCAAGGTAAGCGTTCAATTTCGTTCATATCTACATAGTATTTTTATAGTGATTTGAATATCTAATTGCCAACAATACCAGTGATTCGTATTAGCTTTTCATGTGTGTGCACCATTGTATCACTGTGTTAGACACACATACACACACCACACACACACAGCACACACACAGCACACACAGCACACACACACAGCACACACACACAGCACACACACACACACAGCACACACAAGGGGCCTCTGATTACCGAGACTCATATCCATAGATAGCTGACTTCTCTCAGCTGTCTGAGTTCTGAAAGGCTTCTACTTTGGATGGAGGACAAAATGAAGGGCTGCTAGATCAAGGTCATAGCCACTGTGGTGGTTCAGCTACAAAATCCTGTCCTTACCCTTACACCCAGTCCCAACCTGTGCTTAGAGAACCTTCTAGTCTGACAGGGGCTGTCCTTTTGGGAAGGTGGCGCAATTCCCCAGGGATCAGTGAAGCTGAAATGTGACTTCCCTTCCCCCTCTCCAAGGCTGGATTTCCTTGAAATAGAAGCACTTGTATTAGGGGACTGTGCCCCCTGTGAATGAGAGAAAACTGTCAGATGTTGGTGTAAGCATCACTAAGGCCTGTATTTCTCTCATAAGCACCAGCTTGTCAAAGAAGGATTTCTCTGTCTCCTGTTCCCTTCTCCTCAGCATAGAAGTTTTAGCCTTAGGATTGCAAGACAGTTGTTATACCCCTAGGCACTGTGTCATATTCAGACAGGAAGTGGACAAAGGGCAGAGGAGGTTCTTCTTCCTGATGCCTCCCCTCCCTCTTCTTCCCTGTCCCTCCCCTCCTTCCTTCTCCCTGTCCCTCTCATCCCCCGAAGCACACATGTGCTCACACTCACATTCCAGTTTAGCAGTTCTGGAGGGGCATGTAACGCTGAGGGAATCGAGCATGTGGTGGCTCCAAGCCACTATGAATGCAGAGTGAACATGGCCCTCGACCTTCTTCATGTGGTCCCCTATTTTTTTTTTTGCCCGTGAATTAGCATAGCCACCTAAATTCTGCCTGGTTGCACAGAAAGCATCCAGGCTTCAAGGACAGTCATGCACCTGGGTAAGGTGTGATCCTTCCAAGGCTGAATTCATGGACAGTTTAGATGACTCCTTCACCCAAACCCTCCCCTCTGCACACAGGCCCTAAGCAAGAGACAGTGAACGACTTCTGGAGAATGGTTTGGGAGCAAAGGTCAGCCACCATTGTCATGCTGACAAACCTAAAGGAAAGGAAGGAGGTAAGCTCCTGGTACTGATCCTGCAGCCTTTCTTTGTGACCCCACACTCTCCAGGGAGGCTGGGGAGAGGGGGCGGTGGGGAGAAGACAAACAGCACTCAGGCCTTCCAGCACCCTATCTTGAAGTCAATTCTCCGAGTTTCTACACTTCACTGTCCTGCTCCAACAACATAAGGAGCCAGAGGTTCCCTTCTTTGTCTGAGGATCATCATGGCTACCCATGACTCTAACCCTACTGGAGAGGAACAGGTTTTAGAGTGAAAGGTACCAATTGTTTCATATGTGATAGGTCTGGCTGCCAATGAACACCACTGAACAAGTCTTTCCTAGACTAGAGAGATGGCCTCCAACGGGAGGATTGTGGAGGATGTGAATGAACAGCTGAATTTGAAGCATCAGCTAAGAATGAGCGGTACAGTTGCCTGGTCTAACAAGACAGACTCTGGTAGCATCTGCTGAGCCTGTGTCTCCATTTGCATTGCCAGGAACTGGCCCTGATGCAGGCTGGAAGGGAGAGCAACAGAGCCCTGGGAGATTTGAAGCCTGACAGACTTGTTCTCACAGAACTCTTTTTCCAAGTAAAGGGGGAATTGGAAGCCTGAGGGAAGCTTCCTCAGGTGGAGAGATCCAGCTGGTAGAGTGTGCTTCTAGCATATTCCAGCATGAAAGCTCAGCTTGGCAGAAGGTATCTGCCTGCTGGGCCCCCACTCAGGGCTTCCCCCCATAGGTGGCACTAGCCTGGTCCTAACGGTACCCTATGGGCAAGGCCTACAGGATGTGAGTGGAACAACTGTTTTTGGGATGCACAGGAGAACAAGAATGGACTCACACAACGTGCAGCAGAGCCATCTTGTTCCCAGAGCACCTAAATGGTGGCCTCCATATCCAACAGCACAGGGAAAAGCCTCCAGGGGCCGTTTCTAGTTTTCTGATCTGTCAGAGAGAGGACAGGCTTTGTTTCGTTGTTGATACGGCAACGGGGACAGATGGGGACTGCTTCTTACTTACTGCATGACATCTACCCTTGTTGTCCTTTGTCACCAATGGAAAGAGTGACAGAAGCAAAACTATGGTGGAGCTCTCACATAGCCATCCTGTTCTGTGAGATGGGACCCCCGGCTTCCGTAGACAGGGAGTGACCCTCACCAGAGCTCTTGAGTCTCTGTGACCAACTGCCCACAGAGTGGGTCCCCTAGTGTTGCTTATCCAAAAGTCCAGCACTGTATCCCTAAGCAGAGGCAGAGGAGCTCTATGGACTTCTGTCCCCCTGTGTCCTTGTAGTGTCATCCACGTCAATCTCTCCTAGAGCCTCCTGTTATATTTTCCTGGCCCTGTGACTTGGGGTTGCCTGCTGGTTCTCTTCATTGCACTACCTCAGATGGTGTCATTTCTCAAGAGAGTTCCTTTTCCTTGGTGGCTTGCATTGTGGTTGCCATGATGTCCACATCCCGGGTAGAGCATTGCAAAACCCAGCTGGCATCTTATGAACTGAGAATAGGACAGCCAGGAGCTCACTGGAGCCTGAGACTCCTTTCCTATCTTTGCAAGAGTCATTCAGGGAAGAATTGCTTGAGAGTCATCAGAGCCTCCAGAGGAACCATGACTCACCCAGACCAGACCCTTTGAGTGTCACTATGGGCCACACCCTGATGCCCTGTGACTGTAGGTCAGCTTAGGTCAGGATACAGGGAGGGGTAATGTTTATCCCATAGTGTTGTCACAGGGACGCTGGTCTCCATGGTGCCAGGCACCTTTTTCTTTAGGAGCATATCGATCCTGAAGAACTGGCCAATGTGCTGAGCCCTTCACTGGTCATTTCTAGGACAAGCTGTGAGGTGCCTGGAAGGCTGATTCAATTTTAGAGATTTCTCCAAGGAAGATTGTGCAGTTCTTTTCCCTTGGGGATTGGAGGGCCAGGGGTTGGAAGGGGGGTGAGTGGGTGGTGGTGATCACCATTCATTCATAGGCTGTGCTGATGAACAGCTTACTGTCTGTTAAATGCTGGGGATTTGGGAAACACAGGGTGCCTGGGGCTTGTCTTCTGTACAGAGCTGCCTCAGTGGCCTGGAGCACCTCAGGGGTTCCCACGTTAGTGTGCCATACAGAGTGAGTGGCCTGACCAGAAGGAGAACAGAGAGTTGGGCCCCAGGGACATGTCTAGGGAAGGCATTCTGAAAGTGTGGAGGCAAGGCTCACTTGAGCCAGATGGTTGTTGGGGGTCAGACTCCCTAACTCTAAAGTGGCTTCAGCATGGACAGCCATGGCTGGTGTAATAGGATATGAGAGATGAAGGGGTGAACAAATAAGATATTACTATGTCCTACCCCAAAGCCACTCTGCTTGGTCCACAGCCACATTTGCCACCTCAGAGGCTTCTCGTTGCCCTTTATAACCGACACACTCATGCAGAGCCATGCTTACAGCTCGTGATACATGGACTGCTGACTCAGTTACTAGACCTTATGCAAATGGTGGAAGGCCACGTCCTGAACTGTGTCTTGACTCTTTTCCTCCAATTGCTCTTCACAGGAGAAGTGCTACCAGTACTGGCCAGACCAGGGTTGTTGGACCTATGGCAACATCCGGGTGTGTGTAGAGGACTGCGTGGTTCTGGTGGACTACACCATCCGAAAGTTCTGCATCCATCCGGTACACACGAATGTCTCATTTGGCTTCTCGGGAGCAAGGTTGGGGGCCTTTACAGTGAGAAAAGCTGCCCCACCTCAACCCACTCATAGCATGGCAGAAACTCTCACAGAGACTGTGGTTGCAGGACTGGAGCATGTGACAGACTGGGACAGGATTAGTGGGTCAGGGACTTGAATGAGCAGAGTGCTGGGTACTGTGACTCCCGGCAACTGTACTGGGCCTCCCCAGAAGGTGGGTGAGCCAGCTGGAGAGGTAGAGGATTCAGTGGGCGGCCTTTCCCACTGCACCAAGCAGGCACTATGCCATTGAGCTATACCTAGGGTCCAGCATGATGTCTTTTACCCTTGTGTTGTGAAGCAAGATTGTTTGTGTGCTTGCTTGCTTGCTTGCTTGCTTGCTTGCTTGCTTGCTTGCTTGTTTGAGACATGTCTCGCTATGTGGTCCATGCCAGCCTGGAACTCTGTATATAGACCAGGCTGGCTTCAGACTTTCAGAAATCCACCTGCCTCTGCCTCCCAAGTGTTGGGATCAAAGACATGAGCCACCATGTCTAGTGACAGAATTGTTTTATAATGGTGTCAAAATTAGGTTCAGACTCTCCTCAGTATTTTTCTATGCTCATTTCAAGGCAGCCTTCAATCAAAATGCTGGCGCACAAAGCAGATGAAATGAAGCCTGCAGAGACAGGCTATTTTATTAGGAATAAAATGGAGAGCAATTGGTACGATTGAGTTGCAAAAATCTGAAAGAAGTTTCTAGAAGCCACTGAAGAAGGATGCTGCAGTGAAAGGATGGGCTGGGGGTCTAGCTCAGTGGTAGAGCATGTGCCTGAGGCATCCCAAAATTGTTAAATTGTTATCCCTTGCTGGGGTACAGAGAAAACACACACACACACACACACACACACACACACCACATCTTACTACTAAACACACTGGTATTGTCATCTTCCACCATCAGAGGCAGGAGAACCATGCTGCAAAGGCTTGAAGAATCTATGAAGGAGGGTCGGGAGGTCTCCAGTGTGTAGGCCTCATCCTTCCTTCCCACAGTGACTCTTGGAGACTTAAGTATGCTAGCAATGACTCAGGTACCCAGGAGTAAGGTGGGACTGTGCAGACAGAGCAGCCAGGCCCACTCGCAGCTGGAATACATGAGCATTAAGACCAGCTTTTGGGATGTGTGGCTACTGGGATCTTGACCTGGGTATAACCAGCTATGCAAGCCTTTTGTCAGCCAAGAGCTGTGAATTGTCATGTCTGGTACAGTACCCCTGCACTCCAGGGTTCTCTGTGTTTGCAGATACTTACCTGGCATGAGCCCCACTGTCCTTCAGAAGGAGATGCTAAGTGGTCAGGATAAGGTGCTTCCACCTCCCACCTCTCACTTCCCCTTTATCCCTCACAGCAACTCCCCGAAGGCTGCAAAGCTCCACGGCTGGTCTCCCAGCTTCACTTCACCAGCTGGCCTGACTTTGGGGTGCCGTTTACTCCCATCGGAATGCTGAAGTTCCTGAAGAAAGTGAAGACACTCAACCCCTCACATGCTGGGCCCATTGTGGTCCACTGTAGGTATGTCAGGGAGGGGCCAGCCACAGTGTGGAGAGTGGCCAGTGGGGCAGTGATGGGGTGGGCAGAGATAGGGCTGGAGAGCATGAAGTCTCACAACAGATATACCCAGAGCTGTGTGTGGAGACAGGAATTCTAGCCCCACTTGGTCTTTGGAGCACAGCCCAGTGGTGCCTGAACAGACCCCCACTATGTAAAACTCTTCAAGGCTGGCAGGCCCAGGTTGATGGCTGGAGCTGGAGCTCTGGGCAGGTCCACTGACCTTGCCTTCTGTTCTACCTGATATCTTGAGGATCACTCAATTCCCATACCAGGACACACACACACACACACACACACACACACACACACACACACACACACACACAACCTTCAATGTCTCTAGTCCCGAGATAAATTACCGGGGCGACAGTGCCCTCTGGTGGCCATACATAGACTTGCTCCTTAGTCTTCTAAGTTGCACCCTATTTAATTTTGCCCTAGGCTGTGTCCTTTGTCCCCCAGGTTCAGGCATCTTCCCAGGCTTGCCATTTACTTCAGGGGAATGTGACTCACAAGGTGGCATCTTTCTCCTCCCTGAAGCGCGGGCGTGGGTCGGACTGGCACCTTCATTGTGATCGATGCCATGATGGACATGATACACTCGGAGCAGAAGGTTGACGTCTTTGAGTTTGTGTCTAGAATCCGCAATCAGCGCCCTCAGATGGTCCAGACAGATGTGAGTGGCATCTCTTCCTGCCCTGGCCTAAGCGTCACAGAGCACTCAGGTGCCTTTGCACCACTCCATGGGACCATTTAAAATTTTTTTTTTTTTTACTTTTTTGTTGTTGTTGTTTTGTTTTGTTTTTACAGTACCAAGTATTGCACCTGGTCTGTCATGTGAATTCACTCTATGACTGAGCTATACTCTCAGCCGTCCCTTTACTTCCTGAGACTCAGTTTTACTGAGCAGCCCAGCCTGGTTTTGATCTGACTCTGGAGCTTGGGTAGCCCTTGAACTTGTTGTCTTTGTCTCAGCTTCCCAAATAACTAGAATTTTAAACCAGTGCCACCAGGCCCAGCTTGTAGGTCTGATTTTTGCTGTTATTGGTTTGTTTGTTTGTTTGTTTGTTTGTTTGTTTATATCCCAAATGCTTTCCCCATCCTCCCCCTCACAGAGTCCCTCCTCTCATCCCCTGTCCCCTTCAACTCTGAGAGGATATTCCCCCTACAATCACCCCACCCTGGTACATCTAGTCTCTACAGGATTAGGCACATCCTCTCCTGCTGGTAGGTCTGGTTTTAATAGGCAGGTGGCCACAGGCTATGAGCATGCCCATTGTCAGACCTGGTGTGCCTCCCACTGTGTCATTAACTCCCATGGAGTCAGACTGGTGACCCTGATTCTTGGTATGTTCATATGCCATGGCAGTGATTCTAAGCAGCTGGCATAGCCCCCGGAGCCCTCGGAGGTCGTGGCCATTGCTGTCATCTTATTTTACCCTAGTCGACCAGTCCACATGGTCACTAATGGGCTTTTGCTCCTTGGCCTTATCTTACCAGTAGAAGGAGAAGTGAGAGCCCCCTGAGCTCAGGGCAGTCTTGAGTAGCATCCCCCACCCCGTCTCCCTGCAGGTTCAGTATACATTCATCTACCAAGCCTTACTGGAATACTACCTCTATGGGGACACGGAACTGGATGTGTCCTCCCTGGAGAGGCACCTGCAGACGCTACATGGCACAGCCACCCATTTTGACAAGATCGGGCTGGAGGAAGAGTTCAGGGTGAGTGCTACAAAGCAGCTTCCGTGCCCTGAGGGGCTGGGGGTGGCCAAGGAGCCAAGAAAAAACGGTGTCTACTTAAATGAAGCCTCTTGAGCTCAGAAAGTTAGGTGGGTGCGTATCACGTTGTGGGGAAGAACGACGATGTAGAACCACTTAATCTCCCAACATCAAGGCAACTTCTGGAAACAAACTTCTGGGCAGGTCTCCTGCTGCAGGTCTGTCATGCTCTGCTCTAACTACATTGCTTGGCTGCAGAAACTGACCAACGTGCGAATCATGAAGGAGAACATGAGGACGGGCAACCTGCCTGCCAACATGAAGAAGGCCCGTGTCATCCAAATCATCCCATGTAAGGCAGTGGGCATGTACACCTCACGCGCTGGACCACCTACCTTTGTACATCATGCTAGGGAACAAGTGCCTCTGGATGTAGTTCTAGGAGATTGGGTGCTGTGTCTGATGCTAGGGAGAAAGGACTCTCCTGGGGGCACTCTGAGGGACCTCCATGAACCCTTGAGGGTATCAAGTGGTACCTAGAATATAGCTCAAAGGCAAGACACCAGAGCTTCTGTATAGGGAAGGTTCCCTGGGACCTAAAATGCTTGCCTCAGATGAGACCTGATGCCTCACCAGTGCTTTCTGGAGGCCCCTCTCCCCTTACATAGTGGGGAGTAAGTTGCACAGCCAAGAATGTCAAAGGACTAAGTCAGACCAAAGGTGAATTCAGCTGAGCCCTTCCTGGGGAAAAACAACAAAACAAAACAAAAACAACAAAATAACTTGCCTTGGGAATTTCATACACTTTCCTGGGGTAGAGTCAACTCTAGTCTGCCTTTGAGGATCAGGATAACTGAGGCAAAGACCCACAGTCAGCAGGAACCCACAGCCGCCCCTGCCAGCAAGGCATGAAGAGATATCTAGGAAAACACAACTAGAGAAGCACGTGGGAAGCACAGGCTTGAGGAGAGGGCAGTTCAGGTCACACACTGCTTTTCCATGCCTTCCATGGAGCTGAGGCTTAGCAAGTACCCACCAAAGTTGAATATCTGTAAGCAGGCCACCTCCTCTCTGGAAGCAGAGAGTTGTAGGAGGCTAGGCAATTCACCCCCCAGCCTCTACACCTTGGTTCTCGGTGGCTTCAGTGTCTCCCTCGGCAGCTGCTGATCCTATCTGGTTACCTTCCCCTTGTTCCTAACTGCAGTATTTTTAGCGTTTGTATTTGGGGATATATTATACTGATGATTGAATAACAAAAATGATAACTGGATTGTTTTCAGAGCTTCCCTGAACCACTTAAGGAACTTATTTGATAACACAGACTTCCCAAAGAGATGGCTTTATTAATATTCTTGGTCTGTGACTTAATTCCTTTTCCTGTTGCTGTGATAAAATACTCTAACAAAAAAACAAGCTAAGGCAGCACTGATTCTGGCTCAGGGTTCAAGGGCACAGTCCACTGTGGTGGAGAAGTCAAGGCAGGGGAGCTTGAAGCAGCTGGCCACATCACACCCACAGTCAGGAAGCTGAGAGCGATGAATACGTGCTGCTGCTCAGCTTGTTTTCTCCTTTTTACACAGTCTAGGATTCCTTGGCCAGAGAATAGCCCTACCCACAATTAAGATGGGTCTTCACATAAATTAGTGTAACCAGGATTATCCCCCACCAGTTTACCCAGAGGCCCATCTCCCTGTGAGTCTAGATCTCATCAAGTTCACGGTTAACCTGGACCATCACAGTCTATAAGGGATGCTCATACCTACACTAACAAAGAAAATCCTGCTTCACAGATGACTTCAATCGGGTAATCCTCTCCATGAAAAGAGGGCAAGAGTTCACAGACTATATCAACGCATCCTTCATAGACGTATGTATCGCAGCCCTGTGTGTGTGTTCATTGCAACATGTGACTCCTTCCTGTATAAATATGTGTCCTTGAGTGTGAACATTGCTTTCCATACAACAAGAAGCACTGACACTCCATTTTCATGGCAGAATTACTTTGCTTTTAAAATAATAAACAGTGAGCCAAGGGTGGTAGTACATACCTCTAATTCCAGCCATTGGGAATTAGAGGCAGAAATATTAGGCGTTCAAAGCTAGCCTCAGCTACATAGGGACTTGGAGGTCAGCCTGTACTATATGAGACCCTGCTTCAAAAAAGTTGAATGGAAAAGGGAAAAGATGGGAACAGTGGTGTGTCAGCTGAGGACACTTTCTGCTCTTGCAGAGGGCCTAGGCTTGGTTCTCGGCACCCACATAGTGGCTCGTAACTACTACAACTCCAGTTTCAAGGGAGCCAAAGCTCTCTTTTCGTTTCCACAGACGCAAGGCATGTACATGGTACACATACATACATTCACTCAGGCAAGCACTCATACACATAAAATTCAAAAGCCAAAGAAACTTTTAAAAGACAAAAAAAAATCAACAAATAATGAGCTTTGGAAATGGGACCTAGTTTCATTGCTGAATAATTGTCTGTTTCCACATGACAATGGAAAGTTCCTCTGCATTTGCATATTGTGACACCACAGTTCAATTTGAAGAACACGTGTTGGCTCTTGAGTGATGTCTGTGACTTGAACTCACATAGACTGGGCAATTATCTGTCTGGCACACAGCTGGATCCAGTCTCCATGCACAGTGGAGTTGGCAGGGAAAGAGACAAGAAAGAACTTTGTGACCAAATGGCTATTAGCACTTCTGTCTCCACTGGAGCTAATGGACATGTTGAGACCGGAAGCCCCTGCTCTAGCAGTGCCTCTGCTCCGCTGTGATGGGAATCTAGCTGGGACAGAGAACCCATGAGAATCAAGGCCACTGAGTGCTGTCCTGGTAACTTTGGGCCTCTGATAGCTCTTAGAGATGACCTCTGCAACTAGGCCAGATGTATAGAGCACCCTGATAAAGAGACAATTCCTGCTTTATGGGTGTATCCATGGGCTGGGGCAGGCACCTGTGACAGCAGGCCTTCTGTTCAGTCTGTGGAACGTTGGAATTGCTGACATCAGCCTAGGGCTGCCCTGAGTGCCTGTGGAGGTGGTGGCTCTGGGGACAAGTAGCCTGTCCCTAACCTCTACTTCCCTCTAGGGCTACAGGCAGAAGGACTACTTCATGGCCACACAGGGGCCTCTGGCTCACACAGTTGAGGACTTCTGGAGGATGGTGTGGGAATGGAAGTCACACACAATCGTCATGCTGACCGAGGTGCAGGAGCGAGAGCAGGTGAGCAGGCTGGGGCGGGGCCTCTGTATGCTGGATGTATAAGAGACAGGTAGCTAATGGTATGATGCCTTAGCAGTGTGGAGCCTGAGAACACATGGGTGAGGCCAAACCAGGAGGACTGAGGAAGAAGAGAAGGAGAGAGGGAGGCTGGAATGATTGAGATCTTACTCCATCTTTGCTTCAGATGGGTGGAAGGGTGGTTGGCCCCAAATAGTCTTTGCCTTGGCTATCTTTACTCTTGCCTTGATGTTCCACCATTTTTTAAACGTCAAGGTCACAGCCTGTGAATGCAAAGGGCATTTGCTTCCTGTTTGCAATATGTGAAGGCAGACACTGATCTATGCTCCTGGTTGCTGTCCTAATGGATTAGATGCCTTCCACATTTGCATTTTCCCAGAGATCCAGCCATGGCCTAGTAATGTCACAAACCCAGAAAAGTACACTTTACCAGTACAGAGCATCTCTCTAAGTGCTACCCCAAAATATGGCCACAATGCTGAATCTATGTTTTGCTTTCTTTAAAAAACAAAACTTTATTGAGCTGTGCTTCACCCAGAAAGCAATCCATCTTTTGAAGGGAACAGTTGGTTAGGGTTTAATGTGTTCATAGTGTTTGACCAATATGTCTTCTGTCTAACTCCAAATCGTGGTCACCACCTCAAAAAGAAATGCTGTTCGATTAACAGTCACCACATCCCCACCCCTCCCAGCCTCAGACAACCACTGACCGGCTTCCTGACTCTGACTTGCTTCTCTGGACGCTGGTGTAAATGAAGTTGCACAGTGTGTGCTGTTTCGGGAGCGAATCTTCATTTGCCATCTTGTCCTCAAGGCTCACCCATTTGTAGCATAAACCTGGAGTTCATTCTTTTCCTTAACAACTTAACATGTGTAAACAATGTATCTTGATTGTAATCTCCCCAGCTTTTCCCTTCCCCTTCCCTCATGTACCTCGGAGCACATCCCCCTCTCCTCACCTTTCCTTTTTCTTGTAATCCACTGAGTCCTGACTGGTGCTGCCTGTGCGAATGTTGACTGGTTTTCTTAGATTGCTCTTAAGTGGGTCTAAAGCCAGTTCTGTGTCTACAGTGAGTTATCAACTACAGTGGTCACACAGTGTAGGGAAGACAGCATTTCATAGCCCTCCTCCCCATCTTTTGCCTCTTCTTTTCTGCTCCAGCCTCCCCGAGCCTTCGTGAGGCTGGGACGGAGCCAGAGCTGGATACAGATGTTCCGTTTAGGGCTGAGCACTGATTGCAGACCTCGTTCTTTTCATTGTTGTTCTTTACAAGATGCCATCGTGTGAATGGTTGTGCCACTTGTACTTCCCAGTTCGTCAGCTGTTGGACGCTTGTGCTGTTTCCACTCTGCTGCTGTGAACATCTGTTTTTGTGCAGGAATAACTTCTGTGTTCCTCACCTACATACCTGCGCGAGAATCACTTCCTTATGATCATTGATCAATACTTTAAAGATTTTTAAAATTATGTACTTGCAGGGGGTTACACAGGGGTGTGGCTGCACATGAAGGCCAGAAGAAGGAGTCAGATCCCCTAGAGCTAGAGGCAACTGCGAGTTGCTTGATGTGGGTGCTGAGAACCACATCCTGGTCCTCTGAAGAAAAGCAGTGCCTGCTCTGAGCCTCTGCTTCCTCATCCCTGTTTACCTTCCCAACTTCAGTGTTCGGGGGCTCTGGTTTCTCCAAATTCTTGACAACACTGGTGTTTTGTCCTCTTGACTAAAGCTATCCTGGTGGACATGTTATTTGTTTTGGGGGGGCATTAAACAGCTGGACATGGTGCATCTATCTATAATCCTGGCAATCGGGAAGAGGCAGCAGGAGGTTAGAGAATTTCTCTCATCCTCTTCTAAGAGTTCAGCTCAAGGCCAGGTTATAAAACTGTGTGCTCCTCTAGAGGACCTGGGTTCAATTCCCAGAAGCCTCATGGCAGCTCACAACTATCTGTAACTCCAGTTCCAGAGGATCCATGGCACCAGGCATGCAGACGGTACATGTGTGCACGCACATACACACATGTACGCATATGTGTACATGCAGGTAAAATACCCATACACACAAAAATAAATAAATCTAAAAAAATAATATATTCATGCCTAAAGAAACAGTTAACTTATTTTGCTTGTGTTGCAACTTTATATAAAGATTTCCATTGTGTGCAATCTTCTGGGATGTGGTTTTCCCAGATAGAGTAGTAGCTTTGCTGTTTTTCTATGTTTATGTCTGTGACTGTGTCTCAGCCCCCTCTCCACAGAACACACATCCTGTGTCCACTTCTTTAGCTTTTTCCACCCTTGATCGTGGTGCCAGTTCCATCCTGTTGTATGATAAGTGGTGGTGACAGGCTTCTGGCTGCCAGGGGTTTGCAGGTGCCAAGTAGACAAACTGTCAGATTGCAGAGTTTGTCCAAGAGTGAGGATTCCTGGTTGCTGTCCAAAGTGGCTTTTAAAGTGAATATCAGCAATGAATAAGACATATTCATCGGTCTGCCTGGCGTTTTGGGAGTGCCTAGAGTTCCCCAGGCACCCTGATCCTTGCTAAGAGGATGTTAATTTAGCTTTCTGTGGCCTTGATTGGCATTTCTCTCACTCCTACAAGGTGAGACATCATCTTACATACCTATGGTTGTCTTCTTTCTTGTATAAAATGCTTTCCCTTGCTCTTTACCTATTGCCTTTCTCACTGCTGTGATAAAATGCTAGACAAGAGCAGCTTAAGGAAGGACGGGTTTATTTTGGCTAGTGATTTGAGAGTGAGTCTGTCGTGGCAGCCTGAGCACAGGATACCTGGTCACATTGCATCAGCAGTCAAGAAGCAGACTGCTGGGCACCTGTGATCCACTCACTTCCTCCTGTTTGTTTACTCCAGGGCTCCAACCCAAGGAGTGCTACTACCGGTAGTCAAAGTGTGTTTCCCTGTCAGTTGAATCTCTCTGGAAACCTTCAGAACAGACTAGGTGTGTCTCCAAGGCGATCCTAAATCTCATCAATCTGTCAATCAAGATAGCCAACAAGCACCAAAGCTCCTGTTCTTCTACTGAGCTCTTTGTCTCCTTGTTGTTTTAAGAGTTCTTTACATATGGTGGATGCTCATCCTGGGCTGTTTTTATGTGGCTTGCATCTTACTGCATTCAGCAGCCTCCATTATAATCTTTGGATGATGGCTGTTGATGAAGCAAAGAGGACTTCATTGCAGTCTGATATTTCTGCTTTTTGCCTCAGGGATGCCCCAGTCTTTTATGCCTTCTTTTTTTATTAAGACTCAAAAAGTAATCTTCAAGGACAAAATTACAATATAGAGTAGTGAGATTTGTTTCCTGGCCTGATTCTAGGAGAAGCTGTGGCATTTACATCAACCTTACACAGTGATTCTGAGATTCGATTTCATCTTCCAGTTCCATTGAATAAATTTTCCTTTCTCTCATTTGGATCAGCATTCCAAAAATCAGGGTCTTTCCAGACCTGTCCTCTGCTCATGATCAACAGATACAGGATTTATCTCCATGTTCACAGAAGAGTTTCCTGGTTACGTGAAATGGCCTGACATCAACTCTGCACCCTAAGTGGCAACAACCAACCATTTTCTGTTTTCCTCCTAGGATAAATGCTACCAGTATTGGCCAACGGAGGGCTCAGTGACTCACGGGGATATAACCATAGAGATAAAGAGCGACACCCTGTCTGAAGCCATCAGCATACGAGACTTTCTGGTTACTTTCAAACAGGTATTAATCGCTGTGACCCCCCCCCCCAAACCCTGGTGAACCTGAAACATTTTCCCTTGGAAGGTGCTTACTTATATACCAGGGAAGTCCCTGAACTTGTCACCACCCACCTAAGTCCCAGGGAACCAGGAGAGGCCAGTGGAGCATCTGATGGTAGGTGTCCTATAAACTCTGGTTTCTGTGCCTCCTGCTGGAGGATGAGTTCAATGGCAAAGAGGTTCATTTCCTGGGTCTTACAATCACTGGGGAGAGTAACCTTAGCTGGGGATGGAGAAACAACAGATCCAAAGGAAGGACCCCTTCCAGAACCTCTCACTGTCCCTGTCCACACTGGGCCTTGACCTCTGACCACACAACGTCTGGTCTGTCTGGCTCAGTGAGAGCTACAAGAGCTCACAAGCTGGATCAATTCTGAACTGAAGATAGTCATTTCAGGAAGGCTCTCCCTGCTCCCTCCTGGCCAACAGTGGACTGCCTGAGCCACTGGGCTTGACTCTAACCCCTGGTGGGAACTCAGAGCCTAATTTCCCAAGAAATGTGACTCTTATCTTTGAATAAAACCACCAACACTCCTGAAAGGGCTGGTCAGAGCCTAATGGGGGTTCAGAAGGAAGCATAGTCACTAGCCAGGCCCCTGGACTGTCTGGGGGTAGACGGAGGGGGCTTCGAGACCCAGAAGGACTCATGGGCAAGGTGGGCAAGATCGCTGGCAGGATGTGGGCAGTCTTCTGAGACTTCTCTTTCATTTGCAGCCCCTGGCCCGCCAGGAAGAGCAGGTCCGCATGGTGAGACAATTCCATTTCCATGGCTGGCCTGAGGTTGGAATCCCTGCTGAGGGCAAAGGCATGATTGACCTGATTGCTGCAGTGCAGAAGCAGCAGCAGCAGACAGGCAACCACCCCATCACCGTGCACTGCAGGTGAGCTGCCCCTCCCTCACGGGGGCCATGTCCCATCGGGACAGCAAAAGCAAACCAGATGTTTCTGGAGACCTACCCTGCAGCTAGAGAGGGCTGGACAGCTGCTCTCTGGGGATTGCTTACCTAGACCATGTGTCACCTTCCCTTTCACACACACACACACACACACACACACACAACTTCACAGATGGGCACAAGAGCTACTATGTTACACATGCAGAATGTACATACATTTGAGGAATCGCCAGAGTGGACACAGTGGGCTATAACCTGTTGAAGTCACACAAACCTCCCGGCAAAGCCCTCAGATACCCTCCTGAACTTCAGCTTCCCTGTGTTCACTCTGAAAGGCAGCTCTGACTTTGTCTGCCCCTCCCCTCATTGCCCACCCTCTCTCCTAGCCTTGGAAACATTCAACGCAGCTGAACAAAAGCACAAGACAGAACACGAGGACCTCACAAAAACAGGTCTAGCCTGGTATTTCTCTGTGTGTGATTATGAGATTACATAAATGTAACCCATAAAGGTCAGAGGTCAGTCTCAGGCGTTGTTCTTTCAGTGTAAGCCATTCACTTGGTTCTATATTTGCTGATTAAACTATCTTGGGTAGCCATGGAGCCCCGGGGATCCTCCTAGTCTTCACTGCTCTGGCCCTGGGATTACAAGCACTCACTACCATGCCTAGCTTTTAAAAGTAGTATCTGGGAATTGAACTCAAGTCCTATGCGTGCACAGTGACTACTGTACCAACTGAGCCTTCTCTCTAGACCTCAGACTGAAATCTCTAAAGTAAACCTGTTCATGTACCCAGTCAGCTGCAAGGGCAGAAACGCATTCCTGGTGTCCCTAGAGACAGTAACTAGTCAGGCTCATGGCAGGAAGCATATGAGAAAGCATGAATGTATGACAGATATGCAGCTCCCCTCCATCCCTGGCTGGACAGGCCCTGCCCTACACTATGCTACCTGCTCCAGTAATCTTGTCCACACTTGCCAAGCCCTGGCAAGCAGTTTAGAATGCTTTTATTCTTGGGTGATTCTCACTAGCGCTGGAGCTGTGGCTGCTTCATTTTCTGAACATCTGACTTCCTCTTTGGAACACCCTTTATTTTTGCCCACTATCCTATCTCTTGTGTCTAAGGAGCCCCTGTTTAATAAGAGAGACGGACACTCTCCCTGTGTGGATAATCCACCTAGTGCAGACCATGCCTGGCCAGCAGGTGGCGCTCACACCTCAGTTTTCAATCCTGAAAGCCTTTCCAGTATGAACTAGAAAAGAGTTGAGTGGCTCTTTGTTTTGCAAAGCAGGAGATGAGTTCTGCAAGCCTGGGGCACCCGGTGGCAGCCATGGGGATGAACCACAACAATAGGTCCTGAACTTCAGAGTAGACCCATTTGTAGAGATTCCAAGAGCTCCAAGGACAGCTGTGCCCCTCCAGAGGATACTAGAAAAGGCTGGCCTCGTGTCTCCTTTAGCCTCTCCCAGCTCTCTTCTGTGAGTCCTGGAACATCAGGCCAAGTGTCATCTTCAGGGGAACCCACTATTCCAAGCAGAGAGCATCTTACTATGCTATCCCCAAACTGTAGCCTTGACATGTCAATGCCCCAGAATCCTGGCTATGGCACTTGCCAGGGTCTCTTCTCCCTGTACCTAAAAGAAAAGGTTTGCATCTCTAATGCATCCTAAGTAATGCTGAGCTGACAGTCAGTCAAGGAATCATACTATTTGTAGCCACTACTTCAAAGCATCTAAGTTGTCCCCATCTGTTTCCAACTTTTATGCTTAGAGAAGGAAGCAGTGTTCTGTTTGCTGGATCTTGCTGTATTATGTGTATAAATGATCTCTTAAGTGACAGTCGAGGGGGTTGGGAGATGGCCAAGACACTATAGCGTTTTGCTGTATGATCATCTTTACCCACATAAAAAGCCAGGTGCCGTGGTACACATCTGTAATCTTTGGTGCAAGTTAGGCACAGACAAACCAGTCCCTGGGGGCCTGGTAACCAGCCAGCCTAGCCAAGACAGTGAGCTCTAGGTACAGTGAAAGACCCTATCAAAAATGAAAATGCAAAGCAATAAGGAAAGGCAACACACATAGACCTCTACATGCACGCACACACACACACGTACATGCACAGCACCACGCACAAAGATGCAGTCAGACATGGGTGCCTTTCGGTGACTGATATTTCTGTTCTCCCCTGGGGTTGGGGAGTAAGTGGTCAGGTCTCTTCCCCATGTGCCTCTTGCTTGCTTTGCCTTCACTATGCATGTTCTCTCCACAGCGCGGGAGCAGGGCGGACAGGTACGTTCATAGCACTCAGTAACATTTTGGAACGAGTGAAAGCTGAGGGACTCCTTGATGTGTTTCAAGCTGTGAAGAGCTTAAGGCTTCAGAGACCACACATGGTGCAAACCCTGGTAAGAAGCCGATTGTTCTGACGTTCCAGAAGAGTCGAGAATTGTTTCGTGTGTTTGATGTCAGTTTCATTAAAAGGAGCGCCCGGTGTAAGGGAGGGCTGGGAGGGTCCTTGTCCCAGAGTGCCTGACCTAGCTGCAGCCTTTCACAGGAAAGCCCTTCCCCGGTCTTAAGGGGAGTCTTCCCAGCAAGACTCAAGAGGAGGAGCTCATGCACAAATTGTATTTCCATTTAAAAAACACAGTCACAGAGTTCAAAAGCAGCCCTGAAGTTCAAAGCCCGGATGCTTGTTCCTTTCCATGTTCCACTGTAGCATTTGGTCTGTTTGCCTTTAGAAGGTCTCTCTCAACCTCAAGGCCCCTCCAAGGGTCTTGTTGGGAGGAGGAGGGTCTCCTAACATCCAATTGCTCTACATTTTCTCTTTCATTAGCCAGCACACACTTCCTGGTTAGAGGGAGAGAGTCTGCACTCAATTCCAAAACGTTTCATGTTGAAGGGGCAAGTGCAGTCTTAAAGGCTGAATCCATCACTTCCCAGGGCCTCCTAATGAGGACCTCTCTTCCACCTCTCTTTCCCTACATGCTCTTGGCAGGTGGCCTGACCCATGTGCAAGGACAGGTGGGCTGTGGCGGTGACAATGGAAAGGCTCTACGTGAACCTAAGACCTTTAGTCTTGCAATCCTAATGACGTCTGTATTAATATAAAAGCATATGATTTTTATTTGCTTAACAGTTATAAATTAGGTAGTGTGAGCTTTATTCTTCAGTGTTAGAACTGGATCATTTCTTTTGTTTGTTTGGTTTTTTCCACTTCAGAAATAGTTTTCATCCAGGTGTGGTGGCACATGCCTATAATCCCAACACTTGGGAGGTGGAGGCAGGAAGATCATCCTGGGCTACAGTAGGAATTCAGGCTAGGATGAGCAACTTGAAACTCTCTTAAAACAACAAATGACTCTCTCAACACCCCCCCCACACACACACACACACACTCGAACACCCACGCATTTCCTGGCCTTGGGAGATGGCTCTGTTGATAAAACACTTTGCAAGCATAAGTACCAGAGTTTCGAAGAGTTTTGTCCCCACAGAGTCACCCCTCCACATACACACAGGATAATGGACCCAATGGCATCTACTTGTGACCCCACACCTAGGAGCCAGAGAAGGCTTCCCGGGGCTCACAGGCAGCCAGCCTAACTGACTTGGCAGTTTCTGGGCTAGTGAGAAATGCCGCCTCAAAAAACCAAGCAGACAGTGCCTGAGGAAGGACACCTGAGGTTAGCCTCTGTCCTCCACATGCAAGCTAACACATGTGTACCTGCACACACACAAGTGTGCGAACAGGTATGCACCCAAACACAAGAAATATCTTCCAATGTCAATATGAAAAGCAGGGTTGTTTGCCTAAGACCATTCTGAAAATACACTAGTGTGAACCTGAAAATTGTTGTTTTCTGCACGGACAGACAGCTTGGTTTAAAACACGTCTCGTGCCTAAAAGGCACATTATGTAACAGAAGCTGATGTGTGGGAGGGAGCTGCAGACTTTGATGCATCAATAGACTGACTGACAACTGGGCTTCTAACGCATCTTCTGATTACATGCATCAAGTATTCGTGAAGCAGTTTATCATTAATATATTATTAATACACTCTTGTTCTCTTTCAGGAGCAATATGAATTCTGCTACAAAGTGGTACAAGATTTTATCGATATATTTTCTGATTATGCTAATTTCAAATGAAGATTCCTGCCTTAAAATATTTTTTAATTTAATGGTCAGTATATTTTGTAAAAAAAAAAAAAAAAGATCATGTTAATTTATTTCCTAGTGGATATTAATACCCTTCCTAATTCCTTTGTATATATTTTGTTATGTTCTAAAGGCTACCTGCTGTAAGGTAAATTGTAAATACCCTTTTTAAAAAATTGGAATAACATGTTAAGGTCAAATACTATCTGGGAAGATATATATTTCTGCTAACATCAGTCAGTACCTTAGTTCTATTAGAGTCACGTTATGTGGTGTCACAAATCATGTGCCACGTGGTGTCACACATCTGTAAATGTAGTACTTAACATGTCAAATGTGTTTGTGAAAAGACACTAAACCCCGAAACCCCTTGTGGAGAAAACAGTTGAGGACTCTGAATCAGATCACACTTACTCTCCCCACCAGCTGTTGTCCCCATGGCATTGGAATGTGGCTCGGTGTACATGGGGGCTTTAGCACAGTCCTAGGTCTCAGCCATGTGGTCCATCCTTATATTTGAAAGATCAGAGAAGGAACCAGGCATGGCAGTGGAGAGCTCTACTATTAGCACTTGAGGGGCTGAGGCATAAGGATTTGGTTCAGGCCAGGCCAGGCCAGCTTGGGCTACAGTGAGACTCTGTAAAACAATCAGTCAATCAAACAAACAAACAAAGGGTTTTGTAACCCAAATCCAGGTCTCAGTTGTACAAGGGTAGATGGGGACTTTCCCGTGAGTTTTAGAAGGCATTTATTTATGAAAGGCTGTGTAGTGCCACTGTAGAGTTGATAATGGGATGTGTTGGTACCAGGCCATCTATTCTCACAGGCATCCAGGATCCTCCAAACTAGCCATCCAAGCTGTGTTCCTGGAACCACTTGCTGTCTGTCTGCCTGTGTGCCTGGCTCAGAACGACCTAAGCTCATTTCTGATGTCCTGCCCACTGGCACAGTTGTCTGTACTGACCCTAATTGGGCCTACAGGCTCACTGCACAGCTATTTCTCTCCCTTCCACATAGAAATGAATTGTCTTACACACACACACACACACACACACACACGGGAACAAATGGTAGAATGGCCACAAACAATTGCACTGTCAATTTCCTGACAGCCATTTTGGTATGTCAGCTTTTCTTTGTAAAAAGTTAAGATGGTTTGTAAGAAAAGAATTCTTAAAAATCTAGATTTGTACAGTTTTTTTTTTTAAAAAAATGTCCCACCTCTTGGTGTTTAATTTAAGAGAGAGAGAGAGAGAGAGAGAGAGAGAGAGAGAGAGAGAGAGAGAGAGAGATCCTAATTGGAAGTCTAGTTTACCTTTGGTAGAAACACTGCTGAAGCCTCTGAGCCCAGGCAGCAGTGACAGGCACACTGCCTGAGGGGTAGGTTAGAAGGATGGAGAGGGGGAGGATGAGTGTAGAAACATTGACTTCAATAAAAATGATCTTCCTGTGGCATTTAGATACCTAGCAAATGAGCACAATGTAAAAAAAAAAAAAAGACATCTGGTCTAATTCATTGAAGACTTTGAACATACAGTTTGGGTACTTTTCTTTTTAACTTTTTAAAAGAGAAATGAAATCTCTGTAATCTCCATAGAGGGCTGATCATGCACGCTTATTGCAGTTTGTCCTTGTTCGTTTATAGTGTGTACGGGGGACAACCCCAGGGTCCGTCACTGCTTCATACAGGTGAACAGGTCACCAAGCTTCTCTTCGGCCCTGAGTTCTCTTCAGCTCTGAGTTCCATCCAGAGGCACAAGCTGGCACCCAGCATGCAGGGTGAGAGCACACAAAGGCTGCTGCCACCACCACCAGCTGTGGCCAGGGCTGGCTGCCTGTGCTTTCTGGGACCTCCCCTTCTCTGAGCAGCAGTGGGGCACAGGCAGAAGGCAGAAGAGCAAGGAGCTTTTCCTGGCCAGTGGTCTTCTTTGCCTCCATCTTAGACCTCAAGCTCAACGCTTTACTTTAACTGAAATGAGACAATGGGCAGTAAGCCCACTAGAACGAAGGGGACCTCACACTGGTCCCAAGCCAAAGTTTGGCCATACACGTTAGCACCCCAACTTAGTTACTGGTCCTTACAATCCCAGGCATCTCTTGTATCAAGAAATGCTTTAGGGTAGATCTTTTCAGGATGTCTAGAGTAAAGTATTCTAATGTGTGTTTTTCCTCACCTTGGGGCTGTCCCAGGTTCTCCTGCAGGAACCCTGCCTGTTTCTAAACAGCTTGTCCCACTCCAGAAACAGAATCCACACTCCTGTGGGCACAGTTGGAGCAGCACTTATACTTTGGAGGGGCCAATCCCTCTAGTCTTTTGGCTAATAATGTCATAGCCAAATTCAGCCTCCCTAAGACACAGAGCCTCTGTGTGCAAGGGGCCTCCAAAGGGGGTGTGGGAGGGGGCTCAGCATCTTCTCTGTGTACCTGGCATGTTCTTTTCTTCTTCCTTCAGCCAAAGAAGGTCTGTTGTACACCTGTCAACAGCCTGGCACCAACAACCTTCTTAGTTCTTTGTTGCATGCAATTGTGTTCAATGCCAAACAGTAATCAGAGCTGAGCGTTCTGATCAGGTGCGTCCCTTGGTCACTATGTGACTTGCTTTACTTTTCTCTCTCCATGGGCTAGATGAACGAGGAATGCACACCTGTGTTTTCCAAGGTATTTTTATGTGTTTTTAAAACCTTTTTAAAATGAGCCTGATACCTGTTTCAGCATTTGGCCACGTTATTGGTTTTTGATGGGTTTTTTTTTTCACGTATATTTACTGATATATTTTTGTTTGTAACCAAGCCATGTTTAATTTATGTGCAATCTTTATAATATGTGTATGTGTCATGGTTCCAACTCTCATATATTACTCCTTGATTACATTTACCGTTTGATCTTGCTCTGATTATGCCAGTGAATGTCGATGAATTCTTGAGACATGTGAACAGCAAGATCGAAAACATCCTGATGCAAGAATAAACCTCTGACTACCAGCCTGTACCTGTGCTTCTGCCTTCACATTTAAGAGTTTGTGTGTGTGTGTGTGTGTGTCTCGAGAGTGCATGCAGATACATGTAAAGGCCATAGGACAATGTTGGGTGTCATCGTTAGGAATATTGCCTACCCTGTTTAAGAATGGGATTTTCACTGGCCTGCAGCTGACCAACTAGGCAAGGCTGGCCAGCCAGTGAGCACCAGAGATTTCATCTGAACTCCCCAGCGCTAGGATTATAGAAGTGTGACACTATACCCATGCACTTTATGTGGACTTGGGGGACTGAACTTGGTTCTCATACTCACAAGCCAAACACTTTACCAAACAAACTATTCCAATCCCACTGTAGGCTTTTAAAATGTAGGTCTGACTTGGCCCAGAAACAGCTTCTAAGGGGGAGTGAGCAGTGGAGCCAGAGTCATAGGTCTTAATGGTCTATGGTAGGCAGGTGTCAATACAAGAGGCACAGATGTTGACTCCCAGTGCAAGGAGTTCATGTTCTGTCAGGGTCCAGGGAGGACTGAGTCTGGAAAGTAGAGCCCTAAGATTTCCGGAGAAGATGGTAGCAATCTTTGATACCCATAACCAAATAGGATCAGAAAATTCTAACGGCCCTTCTATTTCACCTCCCTTGCCAGCCCTCCTGGGTTCTTCTTTATGCCTCTGATAACCCCCTAAACTCCCCTTCACTTTCCCTCTGTTGTAGCCTGAGTGTGAAATGTGCCCCATTGGCTCATATGCCTGAACACTTGGTCCCTAGCTAGTGATACTAATTGGGAAAGCTGTGGGCCCTTTAAGGAACAGGTGACTAGAAATGGGCCTAAGGATTTTTAGCCCAGCCCTGCTCCAACCAGCCTTCTGTTCCTGCCACCATGCCTTCTTCATTATGCTAGACTATCCCCACAAACTGTTAAGTCAAAGCTTCCCTAAGTTACTTCCTGCCAGGTATTCTGTCACAACAGTGAGAGAAACAGCTAGTATGTTTCCCAGCCTCTCACACTCACCAGCCTCCTGGGCCCAGTGTGGAACTTAAGATTCTCTTGTGTTGATTTAATAAATCAGATTGGCCCTGTTATATTTGTGATTTGAAAATCTTTAATTTCTTTCTAAACAAACTTCATCAGTTGTGGTAGTTGCTGGGGCTAGTATTTTAGCGGCCTCTTATGCTTGTGGATACTAATGTTTCTTCCTAGCTAAGCAAGATCTCACTCTGCTGGTTTTTGTTTGTTTGTTTGTTTCTTTTGTTTTTGCTTTGTTTCGCTTTTATTTTATTAAAGCACAGTGCTGGCCTGGTGTCACATGCCTTTAATCCCAGTACTCAAGAGACAGAGGCAGGTGGACCTGAGAGTTCAAGGTCAGCCAGGGCTATACAGTGAGAACTATTCTGTTGGAACTTGAAAGATAATGCTGAGAACGGAGGCCGGACTTGTCAAGTTTTAGAGGGAAGCAAAGACTACCAGGGCTGTTTGTATACTTTCAAAGACTATGTAGCTTCTAGTCAGCTGGGACTGAGAAATAAGCTATGATTAACATTAGTCCAGCACCATTGAAAGGAAACTTTTACTTTACTAGGACAATGCATGATGACTGGCTGGGGCTGAGAAATTAGCTGTGATTAAGAGACCAGAATCACTGAGGTGGAATCTTTTGTATTACTCCTGGCCTAGAGTTTCCCTTTTCAGAGCTTCATATAAAATCTAGTGCTGAGACTTTGGTGTTCCAAATCGTCCTTCTACCTTCTCAATGGAGAAACCCCTCATGACAGAGCTTGGAGGTACAGGTCCTCTGAAGATGATCATAATTAGCTTGACTTCAAGCACTGGCCAAAGGCGACAGGAGCTACAAGCAGTATTCTATTCTGTTAATCCTAACTACCCTGAGACGGAGCGCTGAGAACATCATTCTCTAGACCAGAAAACTGCCTGTTACAGTGAAAAAGATGTGCCCCAAGTCACACTGCAACGAGCAGGCGAGCTGGGATTACATGCTATTAAACTTAATCAGTTTAGTCAAGGGGCTAGAAATTGCATTTCGGATCCCAATTCTCACTAGGAGCCCAGATGCTACTGACAACTAAGGACCTGCCCTAACCTGGGACAGTTGCTGGAGTGGGAGAGGCCAGGAAGCTTCTTTGGAGCTAAGTTCAACATTGCAATGAATAGTATTGATGAAGTGCAGGGGTGGGTCAAGTTCCAGGCAGGGAAAACAGTAGTTGTTTTCGAGAGAGGCAGGAGCAAATGACAACAAAACAGGAAGAGTCATAGAGGATCTAGGAGGCAAAAAGTACAGTATCTTGCCTTTCTTGGGAATCTCCCATCATGCTTTCTGCTGGGAAACAGACATTGCTAGAGACCATAACTAAACACTTGGGGATCGGGTGGATATTTGTTATAATCAACCAACAAATGGGTCTTTCTCAGATCTCCACACAAAGATAAATAAAGGATAGGTTCTATGAACGTGTTTTGAGTAACGGTATCACCCTCAAATGAGCTTTTTAGTTTACGGAGTGGCTGCACATGTGTGCACGTATACCTACCAGGTGCACACAATGGCCCATGCAAGCTGACAAGGTGGTGTGGAGGCCTAAGGTTGATTTGGGACATCTTTCTACTGGATCTTCTTGGCTTAGGGTGGCTGGCACGCCTCGGGGACTCACCTGACTTCATATCCCAATACTGGGGTTACAGACTTATGTGACCAGGCCCATCTCTAACATAGGTTCTGCTAATCTGTTCTTGCCTTCTTGCCTGCATAGTAGCTGCTTCATTGAGCCATCACCTCAGTCCTGGGTGAGCTTTTCTAATCCAGCCCCTAAGGACAACCCTTTTAAGCTCTTGATGTATTAGTTACCTCAGTGAGAAAATGTGCTGACATGGCTCAGGCAGAATATCCTGTAACTGAACAGGTGTTCCTCTTTCCCTCATCACCATGTTCCATTCAAATAGTGTGCCGTTGACTACAATTTCCCATATACATGTGACATTTCTAATTCCACACATCAGAACAATTCATAACCAAGGCTCCTGTTACTTTAAAGACTTTGTTTGACTTTAGGATTCAAGTCAATGAAGGACAATTTCATGCCTCACACCCTCTAACAGGTAAAAAGGGCTCTTTCTTCTGTGCCTTCTGCTCTGCACAATCTCTTCTGCCAGCTCCACTGTCACCCACCCTATGAAGCTTCAACTGTCCCCTTATGAATAATGAGCTGCCTTTCCTTGATTATAGAATTCCTGAGTTAGATGCAATGGCAGAACTCCTAGACTCACCCAAAATGCCAAATCCCTGCCTTCACTCAGTGTATCTCAGATGGGATGGAGAAGTGAAGGTTAGGGCAATAGCTGACCAGGGCACACACTAGGGCACACTGAAGCCTGTCTTCCAGCACTGGGCAGAGATATCTGGAATGATATGTTGCTGTTGGAAACAGAAAGAGGACTAGCAGGCAGAGTGCAAAGTACAAAATTGCATATGTAAATACACGGTGGAGATATAGGGTTAAAGTGAGACTTGGAAGATAAGCATCTCATACCAGACACCAGGATGACCTCATGCTGCCAGGCAAGAGGTCAGAGAAAGCACGTGATAAAAGCAGAAGCTAGGAGACTAGAGTGGTATACTCTCCAACAGAAAAGGTTCCATAGGCAAGGCAGCCAACTCATTCAATACAGATGCCTAATGAAAAGCACAGGCACCAACCACTCTTTAACATTGCAACCTGTGCCCCTGAAGGTGAGCTCATCAGTCATCCTTGTCAGACGTTTCTAGCAAAGGTCAAAGGCCCAAAGGATCTGGCTGACTTGTATAAATGACTAATGGTCATAGACTACAAACCAAATGCTCCATCGTACAGGTATCCTGTGTAAGCTCTGCTGATATAACTGCACAACTAATATTTAATGAGTGGAAGAACACTTCCTTCCCCTCCTTTATGATGGCAGACAGGAGCAGCTGCAGTTGCTCAGAGAGGCCACAGGAGGCAGTGAATTTCACAGAGCTTTATTGGGTAGGACAGAGGGCTACATTTCTGCCTGCTTACCCCAAACATTAAACTGTTATTGCTCTGAGACCCCTAGTGATCTCCTTCATGATCTCCATTGGAGCTTGAAGAGAGTATGACCAGGAAAGCTCAAAGCTTCCTTCCTTAAACACGGGCAGTATTATTTACAGTTCACCTTTACACTGGAGGTGAAAATAACACTAGAATTTAACACTAAGCCAAATTTATTTTTCCTTCTTAAATGTCTTTGCAACGTAGTTTAACTTTTCTGGTGACTTCTTGTTCTTAACTTCTTGGTGTATACAATGTCTTCATCCTGTTTGGGAAGAAAAATACAACTCCTAAATAGTGTGAAGGAACAATTTTTGTGACCAGCTCAACTCGATGAACCCCTCGTCCTTACTAGGTGTCATTCAGGTCTCTTTTGAGGGGCTAGAGAGATGGCTCAGTGTCTAGGGACACTTTCTATACTTACAGAGGACCTAAGTTTAACTCCCAGTATCCAAATGGTGGCTCACTACCATCCAGGGGATCAAATGCCCTCTTCTGACTGACCTCTGTAGGCAGGCACATGGTACATACACATATACACACATGCGCGCACACACAAACACACAAACACACACACACACACACACACACACACACACACACGGCAAAACATTCACTATATATTAAAAAAAACAAAAACAGTGTTTTTAAAAAGAAAAACTTAAAGTTGAAAATTACTTTTACAATGCGTACCTTAAGGTTGCTTCTTCCTAAATGGTTTCTTACTTAGCTTTTTAAACAGATTCTGTGCTCTTTGACAACTTTCTAACATATACAAGTTCTCCATCACTATATGTGGTTCACTAATTAGAAAACATCATTCAGAAAAATTGAATGTGGCCTAGATGAAAACTTAAGTGTCCTAAAGCCAACCTCCCACAGACAAAGGACAGTCAATATGTCCTGAGGTCTCCTCTCTGGCTGAAAAAGGATAGTGGGTCCTCTAAGGCA